AGGGAGCAGTATAAGTTGAGTAGAATTGAAATGAGTCGACCTTGCCTTCCCACAATCATATTTCATTTTCATCACACAGCACGATAACAGCACCCATTCAATTTCATTCCTTATCCAACCATGAATATTCAATTTTCCTTTTACCTCCTATCTCCTTTCTACCATTTCATAAATTTGAGGGTGGATAGAAAGTTTATGAGTGAGAGAAATGTTCGGAAATTAAGGGATTATCAATCATATCTGGAACTAGCGTATTGGTACGTTTAAATTTTTGTAACTGTATCCGATAATCCTAATTCATTTATATCATTTTCTATGAGTGAGTAGTTATGTAATAAGTAATTATTCATTATTGTGTCGAGACATCAAACTAATGGCGAGATATGCCGACAGGCGCAAATAGGTATGATTAGCTCGAAGGAATTAGGTAATGGTATGCTTCCCTTTAAATCTTGGTTTTTGTTTATTAGCATATAATTTGTCAGAAAATGATGCCGGAAAATTCAGTGCGGTTAATTTCACAGGCCAAATCTTGTCAAACTTCAAAATTTTCAATTTTCTAAGATAATAGCTCATTAAAATAATTAAGACTTTAGACATTATAGCTGCAACAACTTTCTTTTATTCATCTTATTAAAACAAGTTTCACCCAATTACAATTTGATGTATACTCGAAATATTTTATCTGCCCACAATGCTGATGAAGTGAAGCTTAAAGATAATTGATCGCTGTGAAACACGATGAACAACTTACAAGATTTATCAACTTTTTCGACTAAATAGCATGGTTACTGCTTCAAACCATACCAGGAAATATCAGCTGAGGATAAATAATATTTCGGAAAAGTTATAAACTCTTCGAGATATCAGTTAAAGAAAGGCGGAAATTTATTTAGCTTAAACTAATTTCATGTATTAGTTCAAGAAGGCATAAGCATATTTGCAAGCAGTCATCTCAAGTTTTATAATCTGGTTGAAATTTTTATACTCTTGTTCCTCTTCATTCTCCAGGAGATTATATGGAATGAAATTCACTCGATAATAAGAGGCGATATGTGAAATTTCACGATACATGGAAATTTGATAAAACTATATAACAGCAGAACACTGAACTAAGACAGAGACATCTACCACACCGATATCGCCATGTCTCAAAAAACACTTGTTCATCATGTTTCCGTATCAATTGGGATAACATCATTGCATGTGTAGTCGCAGATTTTCACAGTTCATTTCATTTCGGCTTCCGAAAACTTTTCCTTTTTATCTATGTGCTGGATCTTTCAGGATAGAAATACTTCATGGAAATAATATCATTTAACATATTAATGTTTTCTATAGTTCTATAATACACTTCTCTTCCAAAGTCAAAAAGTTCTTCAATATCAGATAGTGTTAGCGTTGAAAGAAATGCTCTAAAAAAATCACTGCCAAGGTCAGTTGTTTATTTTATTTCGTATTATTATTATTAACATTTTTAAACACTTCAGTGTAATTCTTTTTCTTGGTTTTTAAATGGGCTATCATCGGGTGACTTTCGAAAATTCCTGGTAGCGCGACCGATGGTTTAAAACATCCATTAGGTGCTCCAATAGAAAAGGATAAGATGTTAACTGTATTCTTCATATTTCATGATTATTATTACTGAGGTTACAGCGTCCATCACCTCTTATTTATCACGTGAACATGATTGCAGAGATGGTTTGTTTTGATAATGTTTGTTTACGCAATATTATTTCCTTTATCCGTTGGTTACCTGTTATTTTTATTCTTGCACTGCTCTGTTGGACATACTTTGCATACGTCGTACAATTATGTTTCTGTAAGTTACTCTTCGTTTCCGGTGTTGCAGCTCTATTTTAGTGTTTAATATTTATTTAGGTGAGTAGCTGTGGTTACAGAAGCAAAAGTTTAATAACTGGCATTACAAGTACTCTGAACTGCTTATTCTTTACAGTATTATTTTCAGTAGGAATCACTTACCTCTATAGTAGTCAAATTGCTCTGAAAAGAAATGGTAGTGAAGGAAACAAGAAAAGACATATTTAAATTTTTGTTCTCTGGAATTACATAGTGCATGCTATCAAACATACACCATTATATTTTGATTCGTTCAGTTACGGTCGAAGGCAGTTTCGAACGTGCCGTGTATCTTTTTGTTTTTCATTTATTATTGTTTATGTTTCTGTGGTCATATTATGAAACCATTTTTCGACCAGTTGGCCGACCACCCAAAATGGTAATATATTATTTTACCAAGGAAAATCCCAGAATTTGATGTTGGTTATATGAAATAATAACTGTTCTGTTTATGATACATAAAATTTATGATATTTCCTCTTTTTTTGAATCATTTTATTTTGCAGTTTTATGTTGATTCACAAACGCAGCATGATCTTTGTAGTTTGGAAGAATTCGAATGCAGAGAAATATTGGAACGTTACGTAAGGCAACATCAGATTCCAGTGGACAACCGTAATAGTGATGGAAGTATGATTTTACCGAGTTTTTTAAAATTTGTTCTGATTTCATTCAGTAGGGCTGATTTTTCTTTTTCATAAATACAAAGTAAAGATAATAACAACAATCCACTTAGCGGTGTATCAAACTTCAAAAGGGTGCCTTTACATATTATGGTTTCAGTAATTAATGCTTAGAATAAGGTTAAGTGTAGTGGTAGTCTAACTAGCGGTAGATCAAATATCAGTTGGAGTTGTCATGAACTCTTACCGAAATGGGCAGACAGAAGTTTGTTCCTATTATGCCAGATAATTATTTTTCCCCTTTTATCAGTAAGATTAAATATTACAGAATTTGCGAAACGTTTCAAAATTTTGCACAAAATTTATCTATGTATTTTGGCATAGAGCTTCAGGTATACGGTACTGTTATAAATGTAGTTGTATCAAACCTGATCGATGCCATCATTGTTCTGTTTGTGGTCATTGCGTTTTGTAAGTTTTGCTTTATATATTCATAAACTGCAACTAGCAAATCTTTTTAGATATAATTGTGATAATCAAGAAGTCGTGATGATGATACTTTCAGGAAATTTGATCATCACTGCCCATGGGTCAATACGTGTATCAATTATTTCAATTACAAATTTTTCCTTCAATTTCTCTTTTACGGCCTTATTTTGTGCCTTTGGGGTATATTAACAGATTTACAGTATTTCATTGCATTCTGGAAAGTAAGTTTTCCTTCAAAATAAGAATAGTGCTGTGTCGATAAAAATATCATGAATAAATAGAAAATTCTTCATAATGGCATCGTTTCACTGATTGCAGAACGCTTTACGACTGAATGCTGGTTTTGGCCGCTTTCACATCGTTTTTCTCTTTTTTGTGGCTGGAATGTTCGCGGTTTCCATTACCTGCTTATTTGTTTATCACATGTATTTGACAGCTCGAAATCAGTCTACAATTGGTTAGTTACGAATTCCGCTCATACTAACGCTAAAGCACTTTCTCGCATATATTTTTAAATTATAATACATTTATTGCTACAGCGACAAATTATTTGTTCCAAGATGAATATATATTATAAGGAAAAGAGATCATTTACAGATGTTTCTTTCACTTAAAGCCAGTTATGGAATTAGATAATATGGTTAATCATAGAATTATTGTTAACTTTGCAGAATCATTTCGCCCTCCCGTATTCATTTATGGTATTGATAAAAATGGCTTTAATCTTGGCATACGACGTAATTTCAAACAAGTTTTTGGTGATACATACCTTTTCTGGTTCATACCTATATTTTCGTCGTAAGTGTTATTTCCATACTTCATTTAGCAGATTGAATCTTACAAAGATTAAAATGTTTTTGTTTCTAACGACTCAGTCCGTAGAGTGTTTTTATGAACAGTGATATTAGTTGAACTTCAGTTGCGGTGATGGCGTACAGTACCTGGTGGGTTCTAGGGCAAGACAACAATCGTACGGTCTGCATAGCACGGGTAAGGTTTATAACAAATAGTCATAGTGATATACATGCCATACGGTTTCCGGTTAAATGTCTTTGCGTTTTTTCTTTGCAACAAAGTACTTTCAAAGTATTTTTTGACTATTATTTTCATCAGATAAAAAGTATTGGTTTGTTTTGGTGTTTAATACGATGAGGTTAGATGTCTCACTTTGTAAATCTGTTACGCCCTCTACCGTCCAGTTCATTTTATTATGTGAGGAAAATGCAGTTTGGAATTGAAAACTTAGTTTATTTTAAGGCATGGAAGTGGCATAACTTTCCACCAGAGAGGCTTTCGAGCTGAACGAAAAAGACTTTTGCTTCTCGATTCAGGTGATGATGACGATACAGTGCGTGAAATATAAAAAACTTTTCCTTGTAGTAACCATTTCCATGTTTCATTTTATATCCTTTCGTACTTTTATAAGAATTAGAATGATACGCCATATTTTGTGTATACGCCAGCAAGCACTACCTCTTGCCTTTTTTTTGAATATATTAGGATGCTCTGCTTTGGTTGTGTCGTTGGCACTTGTTCGGGACATTGGAAAGGACAACGAAACTTAGCGGTATCATTCCTATCGCACTTTGTATGAATTCGTCTTAATCAAAATCATCTCAACAACAAATCGATGATTATTTGCTACAAAACTAGTACGTTCGAAGGGTGACCATAATTAAATAATCATTTACGAACTCTGAATTCTTAAAATTCGAAGAAAATTCCTTTGTTTACATATTTGCAGAAATTTTCACTGCACTATAGTGGGCAGTACATTAAACTTATTGAAAATTTACCTATGCATTACATTGATAAGCATGCATAGGTAAGGAATTCATCTCTAAGAAATCATCTTCATTCTATTGCTCCACGATGCTAGTAGATTAATTCAGTGTTCCTTGAATTATCTGGCTTGTGCATGTTGTTTGCGATCATTCTTTGTTACATACTTAATATTTTCATTATTTTATATTATATAAATCAATTCTCATTCAATAAAGAGAAGACGAAATCATTTTTCCTTACTGCTCAGCTAGATAATCCATATTCTTCTTCAATGCCTTGCAAGAGCTCGTCCACTTCTTCCAGATCTTGCGGATTCTTCTGAAAAGAGCACCTCTGCAATTCACAATTAAATAGTAATGTTATGAGAAGCTGCGTGTACAATTCATAGAGCGATGTGTTTGCGAGTACTTAATATCCTCATACAATTCCATATTCACTAAGGTCTGCTATTATATACGTCACCGATACGTTTATGAGTGTTGCTAAGCTATGCGGAGAGAAGAAAATCATCAAAAAAAAAAACAATCGGCTTTCATTTTTAGTACACTAGCTTTTCACTGGGAGGGCTATTTTAACGTTTCTAGTGCTGAAAAAAAGCTAATATTAAAAAGACAAAAAAGGCAATTAAATTAGAACCACGAAAAAATACTCAAGTCTTACATTTTCTTGTCCTTTTGATTCATCTAAAGAGGTAATACTTTGAACCTGTTCCATAAGTTTAACGTCCTCATTGTTCCTTTGTCTTGCCACTTTATTTTTACTATCAATCTGCATCTGGTTGTCCTGAAATCCGCAAGTTTCGGCATGAATGGGTTTTCCGCATTGTTTCGAAAAAAAAAATTTTCCCTTTTAATTAATGATAGATCACAACTTACACCAACTGTGACGATCTCTTCCGTGGTAGGAATATTTTCTAATGCATCAGTTTTCACTGCAGGGGCAATAAGTTCATTGGGTTCGCACTGATGCGTTGTAAGCACATTTAACTTTATAAGTTCGTTAAATCCATTTACTTGCTGTCGATTCGATCTAAAAAGTTTCCATTAAATTCAGAAGATACCTAAAAAGTGAGCAATGATCAAGATTACAGGATGCGAAAGAAACCTTTTCAAATTGTCATCTGCGATGACTGAATTTATCAGCTCTGACACATCCACAGCTCTTTGTATTGCCCGATCAACACATTGCACAATCTATAACTTATTTATAAACTTGTTTAAACTTGTATTCTTCAACTAAGACCTTCATTAACAAATTAATATGACTTATTAAAGCAAATGTATCAGCTAATGAACGGTGCTGCCATACCATACCAGCTGTTCACTGAGGAAGAAATTCCCTGATTGATGCAGTGCGCAAATTTCATGCCTTTTATTTGTAGCTACGATAAGCGACCCTCTTAGACACTGCTCCTCTTTATCAGTCGGATCAATTATGTTATGACTGAAATGAGTTAGGATCTTAAGAGCAAATGAAAAAATAAAAAGTGAGGGGATGAAAATGCTACCTATTAACTACGCTAAAATAACTTTTGTAGTCATATTTTCCTGTCCGCAAACTTACCCGTCTGAAGTGATTCCAAATGTTACACAAATCGGCATGTGGTAGATATTGAGTGGTATCGGTATTTTCTCGTCATTATCATGCTGAAAACAATAAAATAACTTTTTTTTTATTCTGTCTCATACTCAAAAAGCAGGAAAAATCAGTAACAATTAATGGTCTCGCAATTGCTCACGAAACCTGACCCATAAGATATGAGGGAAATACCTATTCATACATAATGATAAAAATTGCTTGCAATGATAATGGAATCAGGAAGCACAGAGACGTCTGGTCTTCGAAAATGAGCAAGAGCAGTTAAGGATGCGATGCATGCACAGTCCACTAACGACCCATCTGAAGCCAATACATGAACATCAATACGTATCTGCCAAACCTGGAAATTGACAAATAGACATGATTGCAGAAAAATGTAACTGCCAAAAAATTTGAGAGAATTGTCAATTTCTCTATAAAAACCTAGGCTCAAAATTTCAGTATATTGAAAATGTACTGAATAGCTAAACACCTGTTTAAATGTCCTCAGGCAGAGTGATTCGAGATCAATAACACCGCAGTTACGATATAACAATTCGAGGATTCGCATTAGTTCAAGGCCTTTCGAACCAAGACGGCCGTCTTCATAGTCAGGAGAAGCCATAGGTGACATATTTACTTGCACATCAACCGTACCCATATTACCTCTCGTAGCTGAAGGTTCCACAAGTGAACAACTTACTTGTGCCGAAACTCTGGAAAATATTAGTGAATTAACGAATAAAGCTATTGCTAAAATCTTTTAGAGAAAAATTTGCCGATTACGAGATTTCCACTTTCTTCTAATCTTAAGATCTCTTTAGATATAAAATTATTATCTTCAATATGTTCAGATGAATGAACTCACTTCGTCTCTCCAAGCATAACAAGACAACTACCAAGCTCGGAACCAACGATAACTTTCACTTCTCGAAATTCATCACATTTGCGTCCATCAATTCGCTGTAACCACAGACATATTCATAATTCATATCCATATTAACCAAAGTCTAATATTGCTTAAATTCCCATAATGTTGCGAAATACCTATGCAAATTCCCTTATGTAATACATTTATCCGCACCAATATTATATATCAGCGCATTGAAACACACTTCGCACTTCCCAAGTCAGCTCAAAGGAACACTTGATCTCTGATGATAATCACTGCATCAATTACCAACAATCGCTAACACTTACCACATTGTGTTTAAATGAGTTGAAGAAGAACGCCCTCTCACAATTCGAAAGCGGTTCAACCCTCATCCAAAATACACTTGATTCCTACTGAATAATGTACCTAAAGCTTTCATTTTTATTTGATTTTTGTATTAATAGCAAATAAATCGGAGATCGCAACAGTAAGACTCCCATCTTCACGAAACTGATAACAAAGCGCCAAATTTTTTTAATGCCTGGAACTGTACTTTTTTCTATGGAAGAAAAAGGTATCTCGAAATACTGCATTTGAAACAACGCACGTAAGAACGTCAGATGATTTTTATTGAATGATTGTAGAAAAAGATAAAATGGACAAGGTCGATGAACCAAAAAACAAATTTTGTAAATGTATTATAAATATTCATGAGAGAAAAGAACGGCTCATGTCAACTGCAACAGTGACTAAAACCCAGAAATTTATTGGCATCGCTATGTACAAAAATGACACAAAAGCGAGAAGAGATCACTTTTACTTTTTAATATTCATATTATTCATTTGAACCTGAGAACAATACACATTTATTTTCTTCTGCAAATTGTCAACAATAGCATTTCTAGCTCGATATTTCTCGGGTAGTACTCCCTCTATCACTTCCATCTAAATTAAAATTAAAAAAATTCTTACAGTATCTTTCGAACACTTATTAGCACTTTACCTTTGAATATTTCTAAAAGTAACGGAAGTGAGAACTTGAGACTGCACTTGTACAGAAAATCCAGATTCCCAGCAGCTGCACTTATAAAAATACGGAGCTGAGTCTTTTCAATATCGCCAAGCATTTGTCATGTATGAATTGAAAGCCCTATGCTTTCATCAACAGCCACTGAGAAAATAAAAGATAATTCTTAAATTTCTTCAACAAAAATTTACCTGCTTTTTTAGGAAAGCTTGCTTTCGCCTAAAGTAATCCACCGCTTTTTCCGTGCTCATTTCCACGAAGTATCCTGTGCCGATTTCAATCAAATGATTCTTTGAATCAGCTATTTTTGCAGGGATATACATCTGAAAACTTCAAGGCCTATGAGAGTCTACAATAAAGCAAAGGAAATAATACATATATGAGTACCTGAACGAATGGCCTCTTTCTCTCAGTACTCAAGAAGTGCCAAAAAACATCTTAATATATATCAGAAGTTACTTAAAGTTATGGAAACGAGAAAAGGAAGACTTGCCGACTCTGTCAACGGCACCAAAATTTCGCCATCACTAGGAACTTTGGCTGCATTTATTACTGATTCTTCGCTTGCGATAAATTTTGATTCGAAAACCTTCAGTTCCTAAGATTATCGCGAATAAAATTACAATTCTGGCAAGCGTAACAATTTCTTTATAGAGCTTCAACGAGATGTTAGTTGCTTTGGATAAGCGTCCTCTGTCCCCACCATTTTCAAACAACAACAATTTTTTTGAAATGTCGAAACTCACCTATTCAAAACAGTGCTGTATAGGAAAATAAAACAGAATGTCAAAAACGCAACCTTTAAGGATTCGGTAAGAAAAGAAATTTCCTGATCGATTTGTCGCTGAAAATAAGTAAGCTGGTCCACACCTAAATCAGCAATTGGGATAGCTTGCTTCTCGTTGGATACTTCCATCGTTGTATGCGTCTCCTCTTTGGTGAAAATTCTCTGCAAAAAAATGAAATCAATTTAAATTGAGCTTGCAAAACGAAATTTGCTGAGAGAAGTTATATGTTAATAAATTCGAACTATTCCCATCACCGAGACGGCCTCCAAGTAGCTCTTTATTTAAGCCGACTTCGTTTAAATTACCAATTCCGTTTAAAAACTTATCAAATTTCATAATTCTGCAATTCAATCAACTAAAAGTACTATGTCATACCCCAACAGTCTCTCTGAACGGCCCATTCTCTCAGTAACCTTACGATTAGAAAAATGTTAAAATGTTTTTTAAATCTTATAACTATTTAGCACTTCTCTCAATCTCCAATATTTTATCTTACTTCCTGCGCATAACATTTCTTCCCTATCACATTCACGCTTTACCTCCCGAGAGCTCCTCACCCTCGCGGTAGAAACAGCCTCAATGTTCACACTTTGATACGGACGCGTCGCATAATTTTGCATGCAACGGACCGTGCTATCTGGAACGGCGTATTTGAGCTTCATTATTTGTAAAAAAAAGTGTGATTGGAAACGTTGGAATGAAGTAGCGGAAGCGGTATAAGTTATACACTCACTAGCAAATCTATTATAAATGTGCCCATGCTTATTGCACGTATATGTTGACACTAATATGTCTTGCGTTGTCTTGTCCCTGACATATTTGCAATCTATGTAAATTCGCCATGAATTTGTGATAGCTTGTACAACTTGTTCTATATGCTTGTACAGCTTATGATAGCTCGTATTGTTTCATGGCGTTGTAAATCCATTTAAATGTACCGTAGCCCTTATATCTTCGAGTAGGTCCCATTTCAGAACTATGACAGCAACACCGGAGTCAAGTTTAGCAGTTGCAGTTGCTCTTTGGGGTAGAAAGCCGCCGAAACATCGCATTAACTGCTTGCAGTGCTTTAAAGACGGCACAGTTATCATCACAGGTAAAAGTTAGCGGATAAGTTCAACAACACATCATCTATGAAGAATATGAAATTCAGATAGATCACCCATAAAAGCCGTCAAACCTTCAAACGGGTCATCCATAAAAGTCGTGATAATTAAGATATCGAAAGCATGCATGTCAGACATTTCAGGAGCTGATGATGGTACCTTGATACTATGGGAAAAATGTGATGGGAATTTACAGGCTCAAATGATGTTGCTTGGACATGAAGCTCCGATAACGGCTTTATCAGCAACAGATGCCACACAAAATTTGACGTAATAATTTCGAAGACTGTTGAAAAATGAAAGAATCTTCCCCCCTGGAAACTCAATATTGATTTATGTTGTACTCTTTTATTGAAGCGTATAGTTTAGACATGGATTTAAAATCTCTTCTGCATAAGATATGGTAATCAGTTTCAGGAGATTTGTGAGCGCTTCTGCAGATGGCCAGTTGACGTTGTGGGATAGCACAGATGGACGTGCCATTGATAATACCTTCATGGCTCATGTACATCGACATATTGTTCCGTATGTAAGTTAGTATCTCTCCGTGACGTTTATTTCAGAACACTTTTGGTTAGAGTCATTATCGTAGTAGTCTTCTTCCATTCGTTATCCTAGATCGATCATTTATTTCCAGCTTTCTTTCAGTTTAAGATTTTTTCTAATAAATGTAATATATACCGATTTTGTTTATTTTCATTTTTTTGTATAAATTAGGAACTATAAATGTTATATGTGAATATTTCAGCATATGACCAAAGGTTCCTTTAGCTTGTGCGGTTTATACTGTATAGGGGATTACGCAGAAGTGATGGTGATTGATCCACAGGATATGAATATACTTTTCACTCTGAATTCACGAGTAGAGCCAGATTGGATAGCTGCATTCACTATCATCAGTCATCCAAGCAAACAAGGTATGAACATTTCAAAATATATCAATTTACTTAGTGAAGATTGTGTTAGCTTTCAGGGCAGTGTTTTGTCTGTGCTATTAATGTGTGATCACCGTACCATACTCATCTTACCTGAGTTACTTTGTTCTTATTTCATGCTTTCTGAATTAGAATTATATGTTGTTATTCAGAAAGTTCAGTCAGTACACTCTCCATGACAGTTATTTTTTTGTCCGAGTTTTAATTATTTCAGCAGCTGTATAATTAAAATGTCTTTGTTTGAATTTTTATGGTCAAGAAGTCTATAGTGTTTTTGTGATTTTGTTTGAGAATGATTGCTGAATTATTACTCGAGCAAAATCAATGATAGATGTCTTTAAATAAATTAGATGCAGACACCAAACATGTCGTCTTATTTTATATACTGATGATCCTAATTTTTCTCATGATTGAATAATAGGAAGAAAGTTGCTGAATAATAAAAGTAGTGGATTTATTTTTAAATTATCTGTTGGTCTTCCCTTATTTTAAAATGTTTCTCTTTAGATGCAGTATTAGGCATTACGACATGTGGCATGGTAAAGGTGTGGGTTTTGTTTGATTTAGATAAAAAGGTTGGTTTGTTGCCCTTTAAATCAATAGTATTTATCACTTCGTTCTCTAAATAAATACAAAAGGTATAAATTGAGATGTCATTATATAAATCATTATATCGTATCAACTAAGGCGTTGAGTATGTAACATCTGATACGAAAATTCTTTTATTAGAATACAAAATATTCTACCAACCAGCTTTTTTTTCAATGAATGGACATTTGCAGGAATTACCCATCTATGAAGCAGAATCAAGAAATGTAGAGATAAATGAAGTTTATTCTATATCTTGGCATCCATCTTCACCTTCCATATTTGTGGTATTTAATTCTGGTTCATGGCAGGTGCGTTCTTGCAAAATTAAATTTGGAGTGAAAGAAGTGTAAATTACGAAATCCAGTCAAAAATATTACCACATAAGGTAAGCAAAAATACTAGGGGGAAGCAAGAGATACTTCCTTCAGGCAAATCGTAAAGGTTATGTGTTGGCAGATAGCATTGATATAACATTTTATTTTGCCTAATTCATCTTCACCACATAGCTGTTTTTTATCTTTTTTTGTTTTTTTGTGCATGCTCTTTTCCAGGTGTTTCAACTGGCTGATCTTAATCGTTTGGTAGTATATTTTTCTGATGAACAAATTTGTGACGGGAAGTTATTATCTGATGAGCGATCTGCAGTAGCTTGTGCAGATGGCTGTGTATATATTTATCAGCTTCCACGTTCGTAAGTTTTGCCTTAATAAGACATGAGACCATCTGTGAAGTATAATAGATTGCCTGCTCAAATTTGTTTTGGCAGCTGTCAGAAGCACGTTTTTTGATTTAGGTTGCTTTCTTGCGGTAGTGGCTCAGGAAGTGTGATGGAAGGACATAGTGATCCGACACTGCTGATGATTTTACAAAACAAATCAACTGATAATCTGGTTGGTGAAAATTTCTGACTTAGATTACTCCCCGTAATTTTCATGGCTCTTTGCCTCTTTTATTTGTTGAAGTAACTTCTCTCAACGATATTTACATCGCTAGCTATATCAAAATTGTGTGATTTTTATTTTCATCATATGTCCATTTTCAGCAGTCAACACACATGATATTTTGCATCTCAGCTTCCCAATTTGTTTGGCGAGCCGATACTGAAAGCAATATAACGCTATGGGAATTAAATGAAGTTTTACCAATACAATCAAAGCATCAATTGATATTCGAGCGACCCAAGCTGGAAACAAGCATAAAATGTCAGTGGAATAGCTTGAAAAACTCGCCGCCATCCATATACGATGGTGAAGTATGTGTACAACTATAAGTTTTGCAAATTTCGAAAATAATTGACAAAGGTATAGTGTACTGTAGTTTAGGACGATTGCGAGGTTACAGCTACTCATTACGTTAGTAGCCAAGGACGCCTTCTTATTGGACGTGGAGACGGGGTTATAATCCTTATGTACGGTTGCGACGCTATTTCAAAACAATTGCTAACCAAAAGCGAAGGTTACCATTTGCCCCCATTTGTTACATAAGGTATGATTGTGATCTGTTGTTTCTAAGAAACCCATGCCACTGGCAATGAAGCTATATTACAGAACCTAGTTGTCGGCATTTATATGGTCATACCGCTGCCGTAACATGCTTTCTTTATCCACATGAAGAACATCCGCGATATGACCAACAGATATTGTTGTCTGGATCCAGCGACTTTTCTGTTATAACTTGGAATTTGAATAGTGGATCAAGACTATATCGGTTTTGTGTCCAGGGCGGTCCAATCCTTCGCATGCTTATTCCTCCGGAAACATGCAATGTATGTTACGGCCCATTTCTCTAATCATGTATTTTGCAGCATGGCATCCATATTTTTCAAAATTGTTGTTTCAGCCAAGAGTTCTCCATACAATTTGTTCAGTAGCTGGAGATAATTCAGCTGCGCTTTTGTCTTTGAAAGAAAATAAATGTCTTCTTTTGGCAAGCCGGCAATTATTTCCAATAGTGGATGTAAAATGGCGACCGTTGGATAATTTCCTCCTACTGAAATGTGAGGATGAATCTGTTTATGTGTGGCAAATGGATCCCGGTTTGTGTTTCGTATCCGTAGTTTGATTAAAATATCACTGATTATTAATGCAAATTGTTTACGGTATCTCATTCCACGCTGCATTTTATGTGTTCTATTACAAAAAAGATTTTTTCTTTACATGTAGGAAATGTAAAAACTCATGAAAAAATAGTGCTTATTAAAAGATCGAGTTTCTAGTAAGCATGAATTTTCGGTTTGTATTTTTGTAATAGCGAACTTAAGAATATAAGTACAACAAATTCTCTCTTTAAATAATTTTTTTTGCTAAATAATAACATTCAAAATATTTTCATTAATCTTTCAGCATGTTTGGAAAGAATTGTTAATGGCCAAATGGCGGAAGAAATTCTGATAGCGTGCAGTGAACAAGTTGGTGTGGCCGAGATAGACGACGAAGCTGGCGCTTCACAAGCCGTCCAAATGCTTCGTGCTTTGAGAAATAAAAACATACTTGTGGTATGTTTCCTTGGGAATTCAAAGTTTGATTTCGCTTCTGTCCTTGAAATGTCCTATCAATTAGTGGGAGCTATCTGCACTATATGTCATTGTGTTTTACCTGAAACATGCACAAGGTTATGTTAATTAAATACTTCAATAACGTTTGAATGTTTTTATGTTTTTCAACGAGATTGTTTTAAACTTTAGTCCAAGAATTACAGATGAAACAAATTGCAACTGGCAACCGGGATGGAAAAGTTGCAAGTACAGCTGAAAAAGTTCTCGAGTTGCCACCTCCAATGAACATCCAAGCTATGGCCAAAGCCCCTAGTTCACCACATCTTGTATTTTTCAACGTTGACTCTTTAGTCGGTACGTTACAATTTCTATATTTGTAATTTTATTTACAAATTTTGCTATCATTTATCAATCTCTGCACATTTATGGTGTGAGTAATTATAATTTCAGCTGGGCTTCTAGTACTCGGAGATGAATTGTCATCAGGTGAAAATGTGGAAAACAAGTCCTTATCAACAATATTGATGGGTAAACAGCAGTCAGATTCTCGTACAGCGCTGGCAAAAATTGCATGGCAGACGGGATCCAATCTTTACCTGGATGTTGCGAAGCTTTGTATGAGTTTATTATACGCCTGGACTCTTGATCCTGACTTGGATGAAGTTTGCTTGAAAAAATTGCGCCTTGTGAAACCATCGATACCATTAAGTTTTGGTGTTGAATCGCAACAAGGTTTATTATTTCATTGTATTTTCAAATTAGTATCATCTTTTAATTATATCATTTTAGACGCTTTACCAGGTATTATTCAAGTGCTATATTTCATGTCTTGCAATTAAGAGGTTATGAAACAATGCTCCATTTCTCTGTTTTATTATTCGGTGTAATATGATGACCTGTTCTGTATTTAAACCGGATACGCAGCCACGAACCTATTATTATTGATTTTCGCAGATTGTCCATTTTAGGACATCTGGTGGTATATATGCCTACAGGAAAATTCAATAATGTTGCTTCATTTGATAGTTTTGCAAGTTCTGTTCGATGGGCCACAGGCAGTTCTTTGACAACAGCACATCTTTTGGCAGTTATTGCTCTTGCGAATACTTTGATGTCATTACATGGCGCTTCTTTTGATATCGCTAAAAGGAATATTCTTATAAGGTCATAATAACCATTCAAAATTTTATCTTATCTGTCTACGAATGATAGGGATTGATGATAATCCATTTATCTTGCTCAATGTGAAAGTATAATAAGAATAATTAATATCATTTGGAATTTTAATGTTCGTTATAAAACCAGTATAGGTGAAGTTTTTGTATCAGCTAGTTGTTATGTTGGTATTGTTCAGTATTAATTTCTATTCCAATGGTTTTCCAGAAACTCTGCATTACGTTCTTCCGGTGCTGAGTCTCACGAGAACGATTTGCAGTTGAAACAAGGCTGGTCGTTAATTGCTGCACTACATTGTTGTCTCTTACCCGATCTGATCAAACCAAAGAGTATTTATTGTCCGCCCAGGATAGAATTGCTCGCAAAAAGATATTTTTTTTTACTTCTTCTTAGATTTATTTTTTCAAATTTATTTTGGAATCCTGTGTTTAAGAACCCCTGGTAGGTACTGTTGGAAATTATATACTTTAGGTAAAATGGAGATTAAACTGTCAGCAACACTTTCATAAGTTTATCTCTCACTGTGATGGATTTCAGGTGGCAAGATCGATGTCTAGAAGTGAGAATGGCTGCTCAGGCATTATTGACTAGAGAATTAACACGTCTTAGTGTCAATGGTCGAAAACGCTTGGTGGAATCGTGGTCTGCATTTCTTCCAACCCTTCTGGATCCTAACCTATCAATTTTTGGTAACCGTGCTTTGATAGCATTTATGAATACAGCTCTTGGAACCAATGTTTCGCAACCACCTCCAATTCCTCATCGCAAGGGTGAAAAAGCACTCCCAGATCCAGCTGTCAATGGTAAGGTTAATCTAAACGATATTTTTTGAAATTAAGTTGTTATAGTTCTTTTCTTAGTTATTTGTAATCAGTAATTGCTTATAACTAATCAGTTTATAACTTAGAGTGATTATTTTGACTATGTGACCCAATAACTAATATTAGGTAGGAGATGAAGGAGATCTTCTAAAATTTCCATGTGTAAGGTAAATCCTATTTCATTAATTTCAGTAGATGTTAAGTTGTCGAGAGGAGCTGGCGTACAGCAAATTCGACGAAATCAAGCAACATCATTAATATTACTTGGCGTGATTGGTGCCGAATTTCCAGACGAAATGAGTAAGGTTGGTTGTAGAGATGATTCGACTACAATAAGTTTCTGATGGAAAGTGTCATTGTCATTATTATTATGCTTCGTATTTGGGATTTTGTTACCACTAGTAAGATTAACAGCAATCGAAAATGATTTGTTTTTGAATTATAGTTGGACATTTCACGAGCTACTGCACAATCCCTCTTAGAACTACTTATTGCTCCGCCAACAACACTATTACCATTTCATTCACCACTTCGTCGTGCTGCTGTAGATTTGATCGGACGAGGCTTCAGCGTTTGGCAACCTCATCTGGACATTACTAAACTTTTGCTGGTCCTTTTGGAATTGGCTACTAGCGCCGATAAGCAGTCTATGTAATTCTTTACTATTAATCTGTCAAAACATACTAATATTTCTTTGCTTCTCATTCTGTGTGTAAGAGAATAGAAAAAGTTCCCACTGATATCCAATTTAGATAAATTTGCAGGGATACCACAGCAGCTATCTTAACTCCATCAGTGGATGTGTGTCATACAGCACGTCATGCATTAAGTTTAATTGCTACATCACGTCCACCCGCAGTAATCACGGCATTAAGTAAAGAAGTTGGTTATATTAATGATAGAAAAATTTCTTCGTCTTATTGTAATTGATGTTGGAAGCTCCTTAATAGTCATAATGCCACTATACAAAATATTCGTTGATTAATTGTTTATGCCTTAAGTTTTTTTTTGTAATTTTTATTTAGAGCCTTTACTTAATTAAGTATCTATACTTCTTATTGTGTTACTGTTTTTATGGCGCAATTTATTTCAGGTGGCCCGTTACAATAGTGTTGCACAACATCAAACTATTCAACATTCGACTAGTAGTCCACTACTAAAATGTCGAACAGAGGTGCTACGTATCATGGAATTGCTATCTGAAAAGGAGTATACGAGCGTTGCTGACTTGATGATCCCGGTAGGTATATATCATTTGAGTTGGAGTTATGAAACGGAATTTTCAATTTGGGTTTTTTTGCATTTCTTTTAAATAATCATTTCAGGTGGGTGATATACTTGTCCACTGTTTGGATGCGTCATTACTTAAGCACAAATCATTGTCAGAAATCTTCCCACCAATAACAAGGTATGCCATCTTTTTGTCACGTTTGTTGATTTCTGCAGTGTCCATACCACTGAATTTATTTATAGAATCTTTTTCTGCTGCATTGAAACATTAAAAACTAGAAAAGATAAAGATTTTTTTTTCTGGTTTTACATGGTTGCATACTGTCCGAATACTCGTCGAATTGCTTTTGGTGGGCGAAATGGCACAATAGTCGTTCATGAATTAAGAGCTGCTAAAGCACAGGTATTGTCTTTTTTCATGATTTATAATTGATTTATAATGATTTATAATTATACTCTACTAAAATAAATCATCTCTTTTATATTATGATAAAGTCAAAAATCAAAAAATATGCAGAAGCTTTAGGGAAAAGAAAATAGATGGATTACATTTGATCTGGAATAGTAGTGTGGGATGGAATTCTTTCATATGACATTCGCGTGTCATAGAGGTACTTATAAAAGTTAATTTCAGACGCTACAAGCTCACAAAGGTGCTGTTACAGCAGTGGCATTTTCAGAAGATGGTAAATTTTTAGCGACTTACGGAGCAGAAGAAGCTAAATTATCATTTTGGCAAACGTCACAGACATTCTTGGTCAGTCCTTTTTCTCTGTTAAGACATACAGACAATTGTAACATCGGTAGTTTTATCCCTCACGAAATTCAGGATTTGGGCGGAATCTTATCATTTGTTTTTGGGCATAGAATAAAGAACTCTAAATTCGAGCAGCTTTATTGAAGCATTTAGGTAAACCTGTATCTGCTCTCTTCAAATGCACAAAATGTCAGTGACGTTTGGTGCTTACAGGGTATGGGCCAGAGCCAATTGAAATGTGTCAAGTCACAGTCAGCACCTGGAATTTTTCCAGTTCTCTCTCCAAGCGGTACGCATCAACCGTTCAGAGCTCGTTTGGTATGGATCTCTCTCAAATCGGTCACTTTGATGCTTCCAAATAGCAAAGAGTTTAGATTTGCTTTCTAGAAGCAATTTTTTGGAAGCATTTTTTAATTCAAATGTAAATTAGTTTCCAATTGGGATTGTCATTTCGAAATTTGTATTTTTTAAGCTAGGAACAGTATGTTTTGCAACTAATTTATGTCGTTTTTCACCAAAAGCTCTTTTCCGAAAACTTGCTATCTGCAGTGAGGAAAGCAAAAAAAATATCATCTTAAGTAGTTGTTCCTTAATATGGTTAATCTTACTACTTTATTCTTTTCTTTGGTTGTACATTACTAAGATACACTTCTTTTTTGTCCATTCCTACTTTTATATATACTCTTGTACATAAATGTTGTTTTGTCCTTAGCTTAACTTTCTAGGAATTGAATATCTTCTCGTTATTTAAATCATACAACATGGATCATGCATCAACATTGCACAAAATTTGTTGGTGATACCTTAGCCTTTAGGTGGTAGTCTTATGCTGATCATTGCTAGTTCTGCATTACTAGCATTACGCATTACGATGGAACTTGATAGCATTCTGCATTACGATGGAACTTGATGGCATTCACTTATAAGCTGTTAAACTGTAATATTGGGATTTCTATCTAATCATTCTGCTACTCTTGATATATGGTCGCCCTAATTCAGGTACTCACCGCCTCAGGCCCTTTCTGTTTATAACCAAAATAAGATCAATCCACTGGTTCTTTTGGCAAAAAACATTTGCTATTCATTCAGCAGCTAATTCTATTTGCTGTTCATTTAATAGCTAATTGGTTGCGCTGCTTATTGTCATATTTCCGGTTTGTTAGTGTTTGCTACGTACAAATGTGGACTTCATGTAGTAGGTTGGCAGTTTTGCTATAACACAAAATAGATTATCAGTATAGCGAAGTTGTTAAAACTAATATGATAGAGAAAGGACTTCGTCCCTAAACTTTTAGGAGTGCAGGAATGAAAAGGGAATGAGTGCTTTTGAACAGGTTAACTCAAAATGAAAATGTCATGACGAGATGAAATTGAGTCCAGATATATCAAAACCGGTATAGCGCAGTAAAACCACACTTAATTAATTATGATGTATGAGTAAATCTTTGGTGTTAGGAGACATAACCAAAAGAAAACGTCAAGAACTGCAGGATAGTGCCTTTGCCTACCCACTAAATTACGAAGCATTTCTTGACTTCACATAACTACTGGGCTGCCTTACAATTTGATTTCTAATGCGCAAAACACACCATACATCTCGAAATAGGTCACATAGTTAACATATTAAGCACCTACCTCCTCGCCCGTTTATCTCTTTAACATATTAAGCACCTACCTCCTCACCCGTTTATCTCTGGCTTTCGAAATAACAAAATGGATGTTTCCTTTGTGCTTCAGCATTATCAGATCCTTATTATTATCATAGATACACCCCAACTGCAGTAGCATTTTTTCCTTTATGACTGCTTTTTAAACCAAATCAACGATTTATTAATCATAGCGATGAGCAAAGGTATTTCGAACAAAAGAGATTATCACGTATTGGAATAAACAACAGTATCAACTTAGGAGAGCTCAAATGGAAAGGGTACACGGAGCATTATAGGAGTGCTCTTCTGAACACTTTTGAATTTTTTCTATGTACCGAGCAGCACAACTGCTCGGATCAAAATTTTTAGATATGCTAAATTAGGAGTTCACATTATTTGCATTTCATTTACATCATGCAACTAATGGCTCCTGAAATCCTCACTACACAGAAAAGCTAATGTGTGTTCGTGTGTGTGTTACATTACATTCAAGTCCCGCTCACCAGTCACAAATGGGAAAATGAAAGATCACTAAACAACCAAACCAAAAGTAAATCACAACTTTTAACAACATATCACAATATCAAATTGAAACAGATAACTGTGATAACATAATCGATGATCAAGTAATTAATTTATTTCCCTCATAAAATTAGCTTAAAAAACCTAGTGAATATAGCCAAGAATATCATTGAATATATGGGCAAATAGTACAGAAATGAAAAACTAATATGAGTGGTAAATCCTAGGTTCCCAGTCATCGTAATGAATAACGATGGCGATACTCATAATGCCATTTGTTGAAGTCGATATTGAAAACAATAATAGCGCCGGAGTCAAGTCCTGCCAGTACAAAACGTTGATTGGAAGACAGAGCTATGCTTCGAACTGCGCTGTCTGTTTGCTAAAATAAGAATTTTAAGTTACAAAAAAACGAAGCGGTGGGTTTTGTCAAAAATGAATATACCAGCCAGTACGACTGCCTTTAATAGCTTATAAATAATTATTAACCTGGAATGTGTACAACAGCTGCATAGGGAAAAGTCGTAGAACCGCAACACGGCCATCCTTCGTTCCAACAACAACGTATTCTCCATCACGTGATAGTGCTCCACATAAAATCCTTTCAGGAACTCTGCAAAGAAATTTGTGCAGTAAAACTGGACAGAGTTATTTTTTTTCTGATCCTCATCAATTTCGTCCTAAATTTATTGTTTAATCCTCATCATCCGCATTACATTGCACTAACATACTAGCAGAATCACAAATACCATTAAATCTGCTGCTTACAGCAGCTTCCTTCTTCATATAAGCAATGGAAAAGACAAAAAAATGCATAGGAAACCTCAAACAATTTAATTCTCGTCCATTTGTAGTAAAGGTAACTAAATTATCATGTCCATGCAGCACTAACAGTATACACTCTCGCGACACTAACAACAAATTCACTTCTTTATCAGGGAAGCTCTGGGAATTTTCGGATTCCAGTCGCCTTAATAAATCACCCATTGTAGTGTGGATGAGAACAGTTCCATCTGCAAATAGTACTTAAACGTTTACATTATTAATCACATTTTTGTAACATTTCACTCTTTTGAATAACTCCATATCTTAAGTCTGAGAGTTAACAAAAAGGTTAAAATCTACACAATATGTTTACCTTGAGATGCAGAAATAACAATACCATGTTCAGCTGATACACAAATCATCGTGACGATAGTTTCATGACCAGTCAATATTGCACGAGGTGTCGCTGCTTCTCCTAAATGTCAAAATTAAATTTTAAAAACAAATATGATATATGAATCAGTCGCTGATCCAAGAATATTACAGCACAAAACAATAGTGAGAAATTGGGAAGAATGATAGTAAGTTATTTTAAAGAATTTTTTTTCACTTCAGCTTTGCTTTTCATTCTTGAATTACACTTTTTGATGCTGTGACCACCATAATCAAAACGGCAAATTAATTATCTTCGTACAACCGCTATCCTTAAGTCTATATAATTCTATCGATCCTTACTATTTCATGTCTAATAATATGGACTTACGTCCAATTTTGTTCAAAACTCCCAAAACACAGAAATACCGACCTATAACGTTATATTCTCCAGCAATCGATTGTGTTTGCGCATTCCAGTGCCACAACACCACCGTACAATCCAAACTACCGGAAGCAATATAACAATCAGCAAATGGGTTAGATTCAGAACGTGCTAGACACGTAACTACGTCACAGTGCCCATAAATTACTTGCCGCACTTTTGCTAGAGCAATTGAATTTTATAAATTAATATTTAAATCAATTAATAGTTAACAATGCTTCACATTTGCTAGAACAGAATCAATAAGGGGAGATATGATTGGATCTGATAAACATTTCTAAAAATCTGAATAAAACAAAAGTAAATGCAACAGAATGTGCTATCATATCATACCGGTGTCTGTATCAATAACACGAAAACTGTAGTCCGGATAACCGCATGCTATTATTGAACGACTTTCAACTGTCGTTACAAAATTGTTCCAACGAATTTTTAAGCGTTGATCAAATGGTTCACCCAAGTGTCGACGAGGCAATGGTTGAGATGGATTACCTGTAATAACGACTCAAATTACTTTTCATCAAAGTTACGCCTAACATATATCATTGGTGTCGTATATCACTGCATGGTGGTTAAAATAGGCTTGATGTTCAACAATTAATATACACATTAGGAAAAATGCTAATATTTTGGTTGGCTAACAAAAGTTGCGATGATTTAAACCAAAAAAAACTTATTCCCGACTAGTTATGCAGAACTCTTGTAAACTTCCTTGAAAGGATCACATACATGACTGTGCAGCAAAGTGTCATCATGCCTGTACTGCATTGCATGGCCGAATAGCGCTAGTGATTTCACAACAAACAATTTTAAAATCCGAAACACTAACCCGCAGCCAGAAGTGGATCAACTGTCAAGGGGAGATTTGCAATTGTGTTACCCATTGAATCCGCGTTATTGTCGTTATTTTGATTGCCAGTGGTATTAGAAAGCGAAGGAGCTGATGACCCTTTAAAAAAATGGTTTAGCTATATTCAAATTTTAAAAAGGACTGATCTCTACATTTCCAACACGCATTTTACTAATTGATGAAATGTAAAATATCTACTAAAACCTCAGTCCTATAAATTACTCAAGTATGCGTAGCATCATCAAAGAAATAGGAAAAATCTGTTTAGATGAAAACATTGACTTTTCCAGAACTTATCAATCTCAAGTTCGACGACATGATCTCAATGTCGCATTCCTTTGCACTAATGTCATGGCAGTATGTCTGAATGCTTTTTGCCAATAAAATGATTGCATATCATAATAGCTCTTTATAATTTTTATAGAGTCACCAACCTGTATAATTCGTATTCCACCGATTCAGTGAAAAGATCAAATTATTTGTTATCGAAATAACCGTAGGATGTGACAATTGTGCAAATGTATTTGCACTTATGTGAACCACTGAACTGTTCGATATAAACTTCATCAACATGCATAAATCATCACGGCAGGACTGGAACATCATCGGACTCTGAAATGAGATTGACAATGTCAAAAACACCGACATCAAACTGTCAGATTTATCACCATCATAACGACAGCATAAGCGACTTACGATAGTCATAATGGAATGACGAGGCGGATGAGGTTCGGTCATGAGCTGAGCGGGAGTTTGCCCAAAAGATATCATCTGTTGCTCGAGACCTTCACGCATGGCCGCATTATCAATCGAATTTAAATCCAATGTTCCTTCATACGTCAGGTAGTAAAAGACATTTGTAGCACGAACCTGCAAATTCCCTACTAGTAAGTTTTTAAATACCTTAGGATAACAGCTAACTGTAAATCAGAAGTAGAAATCTTTCTAAAGAACTGTTTAATAAATTCTAATACTTTCCACATACTGCACATTAATATCCCTATTCTATTTCAGTATACATAAACTAAAATTACTGCTTAAATTAATACCTCTAAACCAAATGGCAAATGTCCCTAAATAACTGGCATCTTCTCTCAATCGCTTGTTGGTCTAACTTGGGTTAAGTTAGATCGTCCTATCAGCAAAGGAACTTACCGCCTCAGGCCCTTTCTGTTTGTAACCAAAAATAAGATCAATCCATTGGTTTATTTGGCAAGAAACAAGATCCGATTCAAGTGCTTGCCGATGTAATGCAATAAAATGTTCGGCACTTTTTGCCCATGGTGGTAAAACGATGTCACCAACAGCAGACCCGTCATCACGTTTCCCTAAGTCATATCCATTCGTATTTAGCAACATTTCTGGCATATAATACAGTTCCGGTATTAATTCCTATAATTATTAAATCTTTAGAAATTTCGACAATTTAAAATTGATGAATAATGTGAATCAAATCTTTAAAAGATTTAAGAATTAAAAAGCTAAAATCAGTAATTAAATAGAATTGCAGTGCACTACTGACACTGACATAATTAAAAGATATACGGACATATGGCAATTATAGCCTTATGCGGGATTTGATCGATCTCCCAAGTGTTGATTTACCCACACTTCCGTCACCATTTCCTCCCGTAACGCGATGTCTAGACAGGACTGTATGGAAGAATTAAATGGATATAATTGAGAAGATTCCATAGAATTTGAAAAGCATGCACCTTAACGTCATGCGAGTCACGTTGACAACTCTCCCAGGCCTCTGCTATGCTATGAAACAGACGGTTGGAATGGTCGAATTTACCACTTTGCATGTGTAAGAATATTGTCGTAAACGGCTCCTGGAAAAAAAATTATGAATTTCGGGAAACTATGGAAGTATGAAATCGTGCTGAAAATAATTGTACAGTCTGTTAAAGTTCTGCAAATAATGACATAGAAGCAGTCTGTGGACGACCATCATTTAATTTCAATTCAACTGTTTTACTCTATTCCTCTGATTGAACTCGTAGTTACTCGATTTCACAGCATTTTTATAGCATCAGTCCATTTTGTGGGAGAGCACGGATTTGAATACTTCCACACTGACTTTGTGGAAGTATTCAAATCTAGTTTCATATTTAGATGAATGATATGAAAGTAAAACATACAACTCTCAGCAACCAGTTGAGAGTGAATGCTTGCGTTGAATAATGTGTTCCATAATGGAAAGGAGGGATAGTCTCGTGCTCCCATGAGCTGTAGCGATCCTGGAAGAACTTACGCCGATTCTCGCTCAACGCTCCAACTGGCTGCAATTACGATATTTTCATTAAAAGAACTCCAAAAAACATCAAGCAATCTGATTTCAATTCGACATTCTTTTTTTTGCAATTCGAAAATTACTTCAATAAATTTCGGTTAAAGTGAAAGAGATGAAACGGATCACAGAGACTGCAATCAATGTACCTCTTATCCACAATCTTGTTCGGACTAGACTTGTGCGCCTTAAGAAACCCACAATTTCAATGCTATTTTGAAATAAAATGAAAAGAAGGAAAAAAGTATATTAAAAAAGGGAGGATACAGAAGGAGTCGAAATGCCAAAAATGACGATGTCGATGTAAAGAAGCGGCTATGTAACCCGTTGGCATGTGAAATACTTCGCTCTTATCAAGTTGTAACAAGGGCGGAAAGCATGCAATTCATCATGCAGTCACTGCACCCACCACATTAAACATCAATCAAGCATCACACACGGGACAGCTCTATTCAGCGCCGCAGAGTTTGCATTATTTCCGAGTCCTCTTAATAATACTTTGTATTGATTATACAAATATCCGACGAACTTGCTCATATCACCTTCACAATAGCATACCATGTACGTTAATGGACAGAATGTTTGAGATCAAATGTCAATTAAAGCCAGTATATGTTTTGTCTAGCTGAAGATTACTCGTAATTATATCAAATCCATCTTCGAATGTCTAGACTGGGATGAGAGCATTAAATCAATTATTAAAATGTCTTAACAGATGGAGAAAACCGAAAATCACCTTCGATAAGTCTCGAAAGTTGGATGCAATGTTGAGATCCAAAGTTGGTGATGTGTAATTTGCCAAAACCCATGGAAAAATAGGATACTGATTCAAATCGTTATAGGTTCGACCAGCAACGGTGTTCAGGAACATCAAGTAATCAAAATTCGAGATTTCCCGTCGCTGCCATTTCTGTGGCATGTCAGAATGCTTGAAAAGTTGCCGCGGGGTCATAAGACTTGTTTTGCGACTTTGCGGTAAACCATATTTAGCACCGACACCAACCCGCGGTAAACAGTCCACCACTTTACGTACTGTGTTTTCATCCGTAAATGCGAACATAATGGCAGCTAGAAGAAAAAAAAAGGCAAAAAATTAATCCGTAGTTTTCAGTAATGCTTTAATTGCAAATATTATGAACTACTAAGACAATATAACTTACTTCTTGAAGCAAGGAATAGTTCCAGTGCGATATTTTTGAGTAAGTAACGGCGCAAGAAAATAGCGCGTATCTCGTGAAAATGCCATCGCCCATGCAAATTATCACAATACAATAAAATCTGTAAATCAGTGGTAATAATATTAGGAAAAGATGTGATTAAGTTTGAAAGATCGAAGATGCAATTGGTCAGTTGTGGCACTGAGAGACAATTGGGCTAGTTATGCCATGAAAAGAAGAAAAATTAGGCCCATCAAATTAAAGGACAATGACATCCGTTTAATAAGGAACAACTTATATGAATTGATATTTTGATAAGCTAACAATTTATTCGATCACTGTTTAACGGGATGGAATATGATCAATACATATCATTGAAGATATCCCATCTCGACTGTTTCATCTATGTTACTCTTCAACTCTCAGATATCTTTCTTTCCTTTCTTTCTCACAAGATAACATTCAGATCATTCTATTTTCATTTACATTCATTTATTTACCTAAATTCGCATAAAATTTAAAACAAATCAAACATACTGCCACTAATAAGAGCATATCTCTTCTTATTAAATATAAATGGGCGGAACTGATGTATGGCAAATTCGACCAGCTATGTGCACATACACATAAATATATACATATACATATACAAACACACATACATACATACACATACACAGGCACATATGGATTACGGTAAAAGCAAGAGATTAAATGCTAATGCTTTCAAAAAATTCTCAACATTTCAAAGGAAGTTTATTGAGCATAAACGGATGGGTTGAATAATGGTTGATAGCCTGATACACTGCTACAGTAATCTAATTTTATTAATAGATGTAGAGGTGACACAGTCAAAATAGGAAATCATTCTAGCCTTTAGATATTATTTGCCACAAGGCTACTGCCCGTCTCCTAATAATTACCAGGCGACGAGCAATAACCTAATATATTTGTCTTTTGCCTGTCTTCTAATATATTCAGTCCACTCCTGATAATTATTTTACCAGTAATTATCAAAAAGAAACAATGTAACAATGGAGCGCTAATTGTCTTATTAAATAAACAAACTGAAAACAGTAAGGTATTTCAATTCTGAAATAAAGTTTAGGATCCTGCTCAGTTGACTCCTCCTTCCATCACATTTCCGGGTTGCATCTAACGAGATAGTTTGCATATTCAGCATAGCAGTAAATGATGGCACAAATGAAGCTCAGATAAATTCACTTATTTTAAATTTTCATTTCGTTAACAATACTTTTAGATTTCGTTCTCAATTCGTTACTTTTAGTTCTTAATTACTAAATCATTTTTGTAAAAACTGGCTCATTTTAATCTAACTTCATCCTCGTCTAATCCATCCTATATAAAACATAAAAGGAAACCAGTCTCAGTGGTACCACAACTATACTCTGCAGACCATAAAGTCATCAAATAACGAACGAACAGGAAATGATTCCATTTGAACGATTCAGAGCAATTATATTTGAATAATTTATTTGAAAAGGGCTCAATCCCTATGTTTCTGATATTACGAGGGAATAATGGGAGCGATCTGGTGCCATGTGTGCCTATGAACGTCTTGTGCTCAGTCAGGTGTTCAGAGATCAATGATCCAGGAGCAGCCAAACCCATTCAGTTACAGCAATTATCATATCAATCCCTGCTCATGGCCCGATGAATATGAGTAATGACAGAAAATTACTGACGCATACAACGGAGGCCGGCTGATCTCATTCAGGGCAACAACTCAATTGAATAATTATACCATTTCAGTGGTCCATTCAATCACTTGGCAGTCACTCACTGCTGACTTCACTAGCATTGCTAAATGCTGGTGCGTCGTTATTGCCAATTGTCCCATCAGTTATGAACAATCAAAAGCCAAGAAAACATACATCCATAACAGAGTGCTGATGAGTCAGTCCAATAATTCACGCCGAAAATCCATTACCCTTACTTCATTTCCATTTCTCGCTATTTTTCTCTCAAAGTTAGCTAAAGCTAATCGAACAAACACATTTCATTCAATGAAAATACAAAAATAAATATAGCGATTCTCGAATTAAACTACTCTCATATTTTTACTTACCACCCGATCTACTTCTATGCTTGAACGACCTATACGCTTATTTTGCGATCCACGAAGCACATTGGAAGTGCAGAAGCACATAGGATGCAATTATTTTAAAAGTGGTATGATGATGGCCACATCGTCCATCATTACCTCAATAAGCTTCACAGCAAGCTATTATTAGCTTTAAAGCTAATTAGAAATGAAACAAATTCCTTATTCCTCTATCGAGAATCCTTTAATAATTAATTAAAGAAGTCATTATTTAATTTATGATGCAAAATTTCATCTACTACAAATGGCACAAAATAGATAACTCACTATTTTCAATTTTCAGCTTCACTTTAAACAGTTTCAAATGAGAAGCAAAGACCGGGAAGGCAGCAGTCGTTTCAGTGATATCGCAAAGATTGTTACAATGAAATTTGTGTGATAAGAAATAATTGAGAATCGAACACACAATTACTACATAAAATGCGCTTCCTGCCTGTTCTCTTCACCTAACAGTAATAAAACGAAAGAAAGCAAAAAAGTTTTTGGAATTATTACACTGAGAATGTATGAGAAACACCTGCTAATTCAATATACCAATACAGGATGGTTCTTTTAATTTGGTGCTTTAACAATTTGGAAATTTAATTTCAAAAATGTATCTAAACAGATTAAACATTTTCGAAATTTCCCTATAATCCTCCAATAATTGGGAAGGAATTTTATGAGAGCCGCAACAATTGATGAAAACTTGGAAGTAGATAAGTGCCTAATTTAGAGCAGTCTTATAGTTGTTTCTCTTTATTATAAGCTTCCCAAAACTTATGCATTATAAATATTACAAGATTTATTGATAAGAAAGGGCAGAACACATCTTAAAACTTTTTTTTAATTATCTAAGTCAAGTAACACTAGCTCACGAAAAAGCTGCATACAGGAATTTGTATTTGTAATATTCGATGTTATAGATGATATTTCGAAGCTTTCAATTAAAGCCATGTAATGACAATGATTAATTGCGATTATTTTAAATAGAGGCAGCGATGATAACATTAATGAATATACGACAGATTTCTGCTAAGTTAGGAAAAAATTAAGAACAAAGAAAGTGAAGAGATATTAAATGCAAACTTGGAGACAAATAAAGGATCACTTATCAGTAAGACGATACAAAATGATCGAAGTTTGCTGAGAGAGTGCAGAATAAATATCACTCATTGACTCATTATTATTGGGTTTTGCAAAATTACTGTTAACAGTCAGCATTATACTGTTGATGGACATAATGGTGTTATCAGAAAAACGATCAGGATGGTTACCCGCTACTCATCTAGTGTCTGCTAACATTGGCAGAAAAAAGAGGCTGGCCGGTTTTTCATTGATGTCATTATGAATTAGTAAAACGTCAATCAGAGAATATAGAACACTACATACCTATAACTTATACAATCATCCTCTACCATATCATCTCATGCCTGTTTCATCACTATATGAGCACTACAATCCATATCCTTGATATGTTTTTTTATCTAATTCATTTAGCATAGTACAGTAGCTGAAGAAGATATTCATTGCAGATACACTTAGCTACAGTTTCCACTTTCAATAAAAGCTTCCAAAAGAAAGATCTTAGAAAATCCCGCCGACAAAATTTCAGGATAAAATTTCCTCATCAGGCTTAAATAAATTATCCCATCTTCTAAAGAACAAATTAATGATATTGCGGTGTTTTAAGCATATTTTGATTATTAACAGTGCAATATGAATTGATGAGTTTTTTTCATTTAAAAATACACAGAGAGAGAGAGAGAGAGGAATTTTATCCTGAAATTTACAAAAGGAGAGTGGATGAACATGTAACAATGCGAAAATTACACCTTTCAACAGTCCATGATTGCATAATATCAACAATATAACATTTGCAGAAAGTGATATTAGTATAGTAGGATTTTGCCTCTTTCTAGACTAAAATTTTTCAGTTTTAAATATGCCTTAATGCTAGTTTGCTATCTCAGCAAATTTAACCCATCAGTTTTGTGGTCTCTCCTGCCCATATCATCTCCCGCGCTTTCTACGAGATAATACTACCTGTGCATTCATTCTAATACATTCATGTGTAAGCTAACCATTATTACACCGACAAATGGATTAAATGCTGAAGCGGTAAACTGTGAAATAATAAGAGGGAAAGAGGAGAGTGAGAGAGAGCACTAAGCTGTTGTGCTATCTCTCTATCCATGGATACGGTCACTGATACCTTGCAGGAGAGGAAAGAAGGAATGGGAGAGGTTGGAAAGACGGATGCCATCTATTATTTAACAGGTAGATAGCCGAACAGGGCGGAGTTCGGTTTACACATACACATCGATGATGCGACATGCGCTCACCATTACCCTTCACGGGCTCCACGAAACACGGGCGGTATCTCTCTCTCCAATAGCGCTTTCGTGCCAATGATGATGATAATGGTGGTGATGACGATGGTGGTCGTGATGGGGGCTGTTATCTTTGATTCCTTGACTGATTGATGATAGTTTATGTTAGGCAAATATGTGTTGTGTGTTGAAAGGCAGCAGTTCGTTCCGCTTTCAAGGGGAGAGGGTGTCGGCTTGAAGAAGCTATCTGTGAAGTGAAGCAAAGGAAAGTGAAGTGAGGCATTAACCCTTTTAACATCTCATTCCTTCCAGATTTCTCAAAAAAAAAAAAAAAAACAATTCGAACAAATCCCCAACGATTACCAGTGAAAGTGCTGCTGAAAGATTACTAGGAAGTAACAACAGCAGTAACAGTAGCAGCAATCATTTTAATATATCACCACCGCTGTCATCTTTCATTATCATTAAAGATGCTTTGTGTTAATAGTTATTACCCACCCTACCATATCTATTCAATCCATCCTTTTTCTTTTTTAGTTATGCAATGATTTTTGGGTTCTACGACAATTTGCACAGCAACAAAACAGGCAAGGATGCTAGGCCAAAATGCTGCCGTTACTTCCTACCAAATATCGCATTACTTCAACGAGAGGGTAGCCACCCGAAAAAGTCATGTACACAAGGCAATCTACATGATCGCTAAGATTGTCCAGGAAATTCTAAAAGAAGTTGAGGCACAAGAACCTCGATTCATCTCTACACTCATCGAAAATAACGGTCGATATGAAGGGGTAAGCAATTCCAAGCCATCACAATGGATTCAAAGGTGTAACCTTCTAAACAAATAATCAAAAAATTTTTAAAACTACCACCATCCGAGATTTTAGGAATGTCATAAAGGAACGAAGAGAAAGTACCCAATTTTACATTGCGGATCATATAGATGGGATTATTTTATTTTATTCTTAACTGCAAAATCCTTCCCTGTTTCATCTACTCACATCTCTCTCATTTTAATGTGATCTTTTTCCCTCACTTAAGGCAGAATTACATTCACCTTTTCAAATCAAAATAATGAAAACGATATGAGGAAGCAGACTGACATTCTATCAGATATTATCTTCATATGTCAATTTGATAGATCGCATCACCATCATCTTGAAAAAATGAGCCCTTGATAACATCCTTGATAAACCCCATTTGAAATAAGTTGCAAATTGTTCCTTCATAACAATAAAATCCTATCCCACTAATGCACTATCCAGGAATAGCTCAAAAGATCGAGAAATTTAGAGGTCGAGAGATCGAAAAATCCGTCTCTTCTTCGATTTAAGAGACCTTCTGATTCAAAGATAGTTGAGAAATTTAATCTAATAAGCTAATAATAAGACTCATACGAGGATATAAAGTACCTTAAATAACTTATATGTAAGAAACTAACTGACCAAGTAATTAATTATTCACGCATTTGCTAGTCACCGAAATTCTTTTGTTATACATACCTTCGACCATAAAAAAGGTCGTTTGCAATATTTCTCTCATCTAATGCTGACAATACGATTTCAGATAATAGTTCATTCACCATGTGAATATGAAGTAATCCTATACCTCAATCAGATGGGAGTTTTCAATTTTGTCGATGACGGCTCTATTCAAGGATGTGCAGTCCTGAAATTAAGTGATGGTCGAAAACGATCAATGTCGTTATGGGTGGAATTTATTACCGCGAGCGGTTACCTATCAGCAAGAAAAATCCGAAGTCGTTTCCACACCTTGGTAGGACAAAGTGTGGAGAAGTCACAATATCGAGATATTTGCAAAATGGTGCCTGATACTAGTGATGTTAAACTGAGGATACACGATGACTATATTGTCCAGATAACTTGTGCATTTCGATGCAATGGAATTTGGCCTCGAAGTGCCAGTCATTGGCCCCGAAGTAATATTCCTTGGCCAAATCCATCCATTGCTAATGAAGTGAAAAGTGAAGGTTTCGATTTATTCAGCAAGGAAACTAATGCTGCCCAGAATCAACCCAATAAACAGGTCTGTTTCGGTAACTGCTTTCTAAGATTATTATGTGTTTTCCCAAAAACAACTTTGCAATGTTATTTCACAGTAATACTTGTTTCCAGAGCCGAAGAGAAAGACATTGACGTAAAAGATTTTAACACCTATTTAGCGAAGCTTGAAAGTAAACTAGCCGAATGCGGCCGCTATAACATTCCCTATATCGTAATATTTCTTTTATTTTGTAAAAGAAATCTTGTTTCTGATATGTTAAAGTTAGATATAAACATCACCACCATTTGATATAATCCACGTTTTCCCGCTTATCCATTATGCTTTACGCAAATTCTATACAAAGCGTATAAATTTTCGAAATTTTGTGTTTTCTTTTGTAGGAAACTTTTAAAAAGTAGGAATCAATTAAAGTCAAACGCTCATCTATGTATGCGTATGTATGTGTGTGTGTGTGTGTGTGTGTGTGTGTGTGTGTTTCGGTGATTAAATCATGAATCTCTCCCTTTAAAAGTGGCAGAACTTTTATTAATTCGATTAACTCTTCGGGCGCAGCACATTCCACTTCATGCGCTACCGTAATACATTATTTATGGCACCTTATAATGTCATTTCTATCATTGATTTTGCACAAATGAGCACCTTCTGAAAAAGAAGGGCATCCCTCAAAACTAGGTGTTATTAGAATAACTCTTGGGAACCGATCCTGATGCCTCAGGTCTTGCCAAACAAGACGAAAATAATATCAGTTGTTTCTATGGTCTCAGCAACACTTCAAAGTGCGCTTTAAATGATACTTTTATATTTTACTTAATGACAAATACTTAATAATGAAATCATTACGAAAAATAAAAAAGAATTTGAGCCATCTATATGCAGCCAGTCATTTTTAGATCAGATAAAACGAAATCTTTTGGTCTGATTACACCTATCATAAGACGTCCTATTATAAGATTCTACCTACCACAAAATAGGATATATTGAGAAAAATTTAAATTTAAACTTTGAGAAAAGAGAAAAATAAGGAAGTCTCAAGCATTCTGAGTACGCTTATATCGATGACTTTTTATAATTATTAAAAGCAATCTACCATGAAATTTGATTAACTCCTTGATATAATAATCGAATATAAAACAATTTGTAGTGTACGGTCTTTTCGACATGAATCGTCATGGAGAGAAAGAATCAATTAGTTGGGTGAGTCCGTTCCGGTGATTAATTACAGGCCAGTTCAATGGAAGGTGACGCGTGGGCAATGAGTTTACACCATGCCGAGAACACACTATTGCAACATGGTAGCAGACGTAAATCGTTTTCAATCTTGAAATGTCTACGCGACACACACCTCGACTTCCCGCAATCACCCATTACTAATTACATTTTAAAAACTCTACTATTGTTCGAATGTGAGAAGCACTACAATGAATATGAATGGGAGGAACGATTCATCGGTGATCGAGTCATTGGTATTTGTATACATTTTATCAAACTAAAACGTCCTCAATTCAGATTGACCTTAAATTTGTATTTTGAAAGATAATCATCGCTGAAAGAGACTGCCACTTTTTCTTTACCCTGCTTTTCTTGTAAAGCAAAGGGCTCTTACAAAGCCAGCAAATTCAATAGACTCTCACTTATCTAAAACAAAGATTTCTTTTAACCCAAAATATTCTTAAAGGGTCCTTCTAAAACGTATTACAACATCTATTAAGAAAAAATCCAGCCCTTTCGCTTTCTTTTCTAAAAAAGTCACAGAACTTAGATTTGAAAATTCGCATTGACAGTACCATTTCTAAGAGAAAAGACCAGTAATACGTATCCTGATATATTAAAACCCTATAGATGGAATAGAAAAAATAAAAACTATGAAAGAAGAAAAATCCTCCACTTCAAGCACTGAAGTCATTATATATTTGTAAATTAACTGTTCTGTTAAGACAGTAAGGTCCCCTAAAAGTGATATATATAGAAGGATCGTTTTGTTATGCTTTCCGGATCGCTGAAGAAAATATTCATTTTAGATATACCTTAATTTTATTCTCTTCAAATTATTGCCGGTTTTTTCTATCATTTTTATATAGCACGATTGCATTAAAAAACCGAAAAATTCGAAAGTAGAAAAAAGTCCGAAAACATACACAAATCTAACATTAGAGACATTATTGATCTTTTGGACTTGTTTACTTCAGGTGTACTATTACAACTGGTATCCTGTTTACAATGTAGAAAATGTCCGCATTACTTCTTGCCTCAGCTAGACCTTCTCAAGGGAGAACCGGCACATCTTCTCGATCAAAGCGCAAAGATTACTTGGAATCTTGTTCGACAATTGATCCTCAATGTACGCGCTCTTGAATCCTTATAATCCTAGCAAACCTTGACTTCCCTTCGCTTTTCCAGAACTTGAATAAGAATTTCCAACTACTAAATATTAGCATTTTTCTTCCATCGAAGAAAATGCAAATAACGTTAAAAATTTTTTTACAAAATCCCAGATGAAATTTTGATCAGAATTTCCTTCAATTTTTAGAAAACTCTATTGTCTTTTCCTATTGCTCCTGAACTCCTTAAATGCGCTCAACTACAAATAAGCCACATTTCGGATATTTCAACGAACTTTTAATGCTCAAAACAAACTTCTTGTACGTGTTTGTGCATGTGTGCATATTTTCATAGTATTTAATTTGAATGTTTGTAGTTGCAGATAAGTTTATTTATAGTTAAATATTGCTGTGATCATACTGCTCAACTGAAATGAACCGATGATTCTTAATATCCACAGTTTCATCATTAAAATTGTTTCTTGAATCAAAGATGTGTAGCTTTTACCACTTATTCATAATATATGTTCAGTCATATATCCTTTATCATTTACTTTACTATTATAGACAGGGAGATATGTGCTACGAAATTTGTCTTACTCTTTTAAGATCGCTTATTAGCAAGATTTTAATTCGTAGGCATTATGAACACTAAACTAACTGTATATTTAATTTCCTCGTCGAACATGAAGAGCCCCGGATGAATAAAAAAAGTAAAAAATTAAAAGCAAAAACTTTCAACCAAGACGAATTAACTTAGCTGATTGTATAAATCAGACACCTTAATGATTCTAGTTCTGCAGTACAGTAACTTAGAAGACACTTTTTTAAAAATGAAGGTTTTAGAAAAATATTGAATAAAAGCGAGATAATAACCTTAGGATCTTGCTCCTTGTATAGCGGATCATTCTCGTCAGCATCAAAAAACAGTTCATAATTCGTTATGGAAAGGATTCCTGGTATAACAATGCCTGGCGCAATTAACTTTGCTGTAGTTCCGTAAGTTGTTTTCTCTGAAAAGCATTCCTATTTGATATTATTTTACATCAAGTGAACTTCAAGATTTTGGCTTTTGTAAAAGCCAGATTAATTTCCAATTATTATTACCAGCTACCATAAAATGCTTTCCTTCACCTCGGCCTTTGGTTATATCGATTCACCCTTTCTGTTATCCATAGTTTCAAAAGAAGGTAAGACATCATAGAAAGTAATACATGCCAACTAGCACTGTTCGGATAAACAATATTCCTATATAACGGTGTAACTCAGGAATGATAGTAACATTGCCATAAACACAATACAGTATGTTTCGAAGGTTCTTGGTGAAAAACGAAACAGATATTCAATAGCTTCTATTCAAGAAAGATGTACTATGGATACTATTTTAAAACTTTACTGCCACAGAAAGGTATGATGGATATTGAAATGTCAAGATACACTGTCACATAACGATTTAATTTCGTTTGCTTCAATGTTTTCAATAGTTCGATCTTAAATTATAATTCCACACTGTTAGGAAGTTATCAAAAGCTGCTCTATTTGAGATGTTTGTATTTTGATAGAGAAGCAGATGTTTGCAAAATAGATTTATCAAATATCTACCTCATCTGTCCACAACTGTCAGATAATTACACTCATCAGTTTACCGCTGTCATACCTGTTCATTACGAGCATTTGTCCTGAATCTTATCATTTTGAGAGAATCGATTCCGTAGGTAAAATTTAACAGGATATCTCAGGACAGGCCACAAAATCACCTTTTAAATTCAATCTCCGCTAGTTAGACTTAATTTGAATGGCAGCTAGCAAGTATAAAAAAGCAACTAATTCAGCAAAATCTCAGGAATTCTTACTAAATTGTTTGACGCTATTTCAAAGCAGTCATAATTCTGAATTCCCAACAAATGAGATTTTTAGCGTTTTACTTAATTCCCTTCCAAAATTCTAAAAAGTTTTATAGTGCAAAATAATTATTCCGATCGACCTGTTTATGACAGCGAAATAATTCAAAGATTTATACGAAGTTAAATTATTAAATTTTAAGGTTTTACAGATCATTTAAACCATTGAAAAACTAGTTTAAATATTCGTCAAAATTCCCGAAATATTTAAATGTTGAGGAGTAAAGTCATGCTCAACCAATAATAATGCGAACTCTTTCGGTCAAGCCCATTTTATTATTTTTTTTCTTGTCTAAAATGATAGGGCAAATATGGTATTTAAATCAGAGCAAGGTACGAAAAAAACCAAGAGAACATACAATGCTATTTAGTGAAAGAAATGTGACGTATTTTGTACAATAACATATAAGGTACCAATATGTCTGCAGCACGAAAAGCAGATGGCCTTTAAAATATTAGCGTGAAAAGATAATTATATGTTCCAAAAGGAGGTTTATTTCAATTTGCACATTGTTATCTCAATAGGTATGGAAGAAAAAATTCATTTCAATTTTGAAACTTATACGAGTATACTTCTCTTCTTAATACCCTAATTCCTGCTCTTCTCCAAACAGCTTACTCATAAACCCTTTCATAAAGACCATTAAACTTGCATCAGACCAATTCATCAGCGCTAAATACTTTCATATCGATTTACTGCCAATATAAGACAAAGAAATATTAATCCACATATGAGACTTTAAAGACTGCAAACTATATCGTATCAAAGGGGCTTAATATATTCGTTTCTTGAGATTATATTTATCGATGATGAAATTTATATTCTCATATATTTGGAAAATTTTACATGAATTTTGCATGAAAGAAAATATGGATAGAGCAACTAAATAGCAAAATTGGCAGTTGAGTTAAAATTAATTATGCTGTATTATACAGAAGTTTGGCTGAGTAGCAGCTACTCATTTAAGAGTAATGTGTGAAATTCAAAACTTTCTACCTCTTTGCAAATCGATTGCAGCGTCAGGTTCAGTGGCCCATTTTTCGAAACCAGTTTCATCGACAAGCTCACCTAAAGCAGTACCAGCTTTCAGCGATCCTATGGAAACTAGACGTTGTGCTACTAAATCGCGTAATAGATCTTCACGAGCTTTATCAACCTGAAATTTATAATGAGCTCTAAATAATAAACTGTGTTTTACGAACAGTTTCAATGTCCGAATGAATTGAAAATAATTTTATTTTCCACTACTTTTAAAAAGAAAAAATGCCATTCAAATCTCCATCAAAACATATACCATGTGATCACTCTGTAGCTCGACAGACTGCTTCGTTAGCTTTAACATAAATATTAAAATACCTCTTTATCAGATAATTTGTTTTCCAACATAGTTTTGAGACAAGCTGCTGAATGATGGCAGCCGTAGGGATTTTGCACGAAACGTTTACGTCGCCTTGAATCGTCTTCCCAAACATCCAATTTCCAGAAAGTTTCTCTAAAATAAACATTAAGAATTATCCAGTCAAGATGAACAACTTAAAGAAATCGATTTCATGATTTCAATGATAGTTGATCATAAAAATTATAGTTAAGATATTTACAAGTATTGTTCTGGATCATTCCACGCACCGCCGGGATATGATAGCAATGACGTTAACCTATCCAACAAGCGTGCTGATACAAGCAAATTTCTTCGTCGATTCGCCGTAATCAAATGGTCATTCACTTGTTCTTCTTTTCGACGTCGATGCATCTGTTCAACTGCATCACTCTGAAAAATTATTTAGCTTATTTAGCTCAATAACGTTCCAAATAACAAATATGCGAGAAAAACAATTGTGTAACTTGCTCACCTCAAATTGAGCGTGCTTACTGATATCCTCAGCTCGCAGACGATTCAATATAAAATCAGCTTCATTAGCAACTCGCAAGATATGATCTCGCGTTGCGTGTGCCATCAAACGACCTAAACATCCAACAAATCGCGAGACTGACAAAACAGCAGTTAGAATTGAAACAAAAAAAAAGAAATCATGCGTAGAAACTTACGAGAAGTAAAATTCCAGATCTTAGTTGAAATACAATACATTGTAAAATGAAAAAGAAAATCTTTCATATTCTAGATGAAAAATTGCTCAAAATTGGAATATTCAACTTAAAGGGAAGCGTAATAATTATAATCCATAATTATAATATAAAAGATTTCACATATATTTAAGCAAGAAAAATATTCCCATATATCAGTAAAGTTCATATTGTAAAAAAATTCTTAAAAAGCAAAAGCATTCATGAGAATTTGTGATGGTTAGCTGTTTCGTAAATCCTACTAGTGAAAACGATTCGGATAATAATAATATTCACTAAAAAACGAGCTGAACAAAAAATAATGAACGATACAATGAGACTGGCGCGAAGGAATCCCTCCCTAATACATAAAATAGAATGAATTTAGAAATCAACTTGCCTTCGTTTACAAGCTCAATGAAAGCCAGTCCGGCATGTTTCTGTAAAGAAGTCTGCCACTCTTGCGAACATAAGAGCATGACTAGTTCGATTACTGATCCTGCCTGATTCTTCATTGTTTCCATCACTAAATTCATGATGATGATTAAAAAAGACTATCGAGTTAAATATTTTTAGATTACTTTAGAGAAAAGACAATTATAAAGGTTTACCTTTGGTATCATTCATGATTTCCTGTCCGTGTGTACCTAACAGTGTTTTTTGAAGATATGGACGAAAATCGGTGAGTATTTCCCGCAATAATGGAGCGGTTGTTTCTAAGGCTTTTTGTAATTTGGTTGTGAGATACGCTTGTCGTTCACCCGTTTCTAACTCACGATTAGCAAGGCTGCTATCCTAAAATGTTTGCCGTATTGATCAAAAAAATCAAATTTTGCAAATCTTAAAATAACTAGAACTTTAAAAGATACATCCTATGCTTTTTGAATTTAAGGAAGAACCCAACGTTTAACAAAATACAAACATTAAATGCATCCAGATGATCCTGCCGATAGACGTTACTCTGCAGTTCCTTTTTCTTGTGTTCCTCTGGTGATACTGACAATTTTTCCGCGATAAAAACATTTTTACCTACAGTGCTATCTCCACGATCAGACAATTCTCCATTCTTCTCAACATACGATTCTTCGTCCGCTTGTCTCAAACCACTACCATGGTCTGTAAAATGGCATAAATGAAAAACATTTTGTCGTCCGAAATAGCATGCAGAACTATAAAACAATTCTTACCTTTGTTTGTACCGCCAGTTATAGTTGTATCAAAAAAAGGACTAGGAGTAGATGGTGGTTCTAAAATATCTCTGTACCGAGATACCATCAGCACTGATAACAAGTAAGTGACCGCAAGAGCCAGGAACTGCGCTTGTCGATTCTCTTCCTAAACAATGTTTTGCATTTCTAATATTCATAACAAAATCATGGAGTTGAAAATTTAACTTTCGTGAGATTCATGATCATAGCTATTTTGCTGAAAAGTTTATTAATGACATATTCACTCTATAAAATAAAGAAGGGTATTAAAGGGTATCATTACGGCTATATATATATATTTGAGATCACCTCAAAATATATAAAAATAAATTACAATAAAAGCAATTGAAAAGGAACTTACCATATCTCGATAGATTACCCCTCTGAGACGCTGTAAATCAACTTCCTGCACCAAATGTTCCGGATCCATAATTCCCTCTTTGCCTCTCTACAAGAAAAGATAAATTAACCTTATCAATAACAATCATGATAAAAGAATTTCATAGTAAAATACTTACTACGTCCAATACATCCGACACAAATTCTGCGATTTGCTGCGCACGCCGCACTTGTTTAGTATCCATACACAACATTTTGCCAAAGGAAGTTTTTACACGACAAGCAAGTATATTCCGCACAGCAATTGTTGACACTATAAATGGTTATTTCTTGCTGCATCTACGATAAACACTGATCGATGTATACTATTTGACTCAAACTAAACGAATTAACAATTAAGCAAATTTTACCGAGGCGTAATGTTTGCCGTAATATGCCACCATTCGGCATATTCTTTTCTTGTTCAAGATCATTGAAACTTATCCCAGATGCAAAGACAAAAACATCAGCCAGAACGATAAAACGTGCCAACAAACGAGCGGCACTGCCTATAGTCAATGCCTGACCTGTCGAATCCATTATTTCTAGTTCACTCTAAAAGATACTTCTATTACAATGCGACTGATATCAACAAGTTAATTTTGAGAATTAAACCTCAACAATTTACATTAGGAGATGTAGCAGCAGCCAGAAGAGGAAGAAGTCCACCACAGGCCATTACCAATGAATCGATTAGCTGGGATAAGACGTGAACACAGTTAGCAACAAATATACTATTTTCACTGTTATTCACAACATCCAGTATTGCTGCTGTGCCCCTATAAATATTTCAGGTTTTCTAAAACACTATGGACATTGCATTTTAATACTGTAATGAAAAATTTTCATTCAGAATTCATACTTCTTCCACTCTTCCACAGTATTTTCGATTGAAACAAGCAGATCGTCAAGAAGTCTCAAGTGCACATCTGACCAGCAAAACTCCGGAGTACGGTAGATAGAACTTGGCCGATCAGCTGGTATTTTCGATTCATCTTTTCTTTCCACTTCATCTACAAGTCCATCCTAAAAAAATGTTTAAAATCAAACAAAACTCCTTTTTCATTTTTGGGACAATAAATACTCATATACTTACTACTGTGTAAGCCACAGATGAAACAAGACTTTGAACTAAATAGAATATAACGTCCGTTTCGCGTTCACCGCCTCTATAAAAATTTGCCTGATTACGTTCCCATGATACCTGCAAAATCTTTTAAGAACCAAAAACAAATATTTCTTTATGAAGTTAATTAAAACATTTCAGCTTTCAATATATTGTTTTTACACCTGCGAATTTTTGCAAATCACAACAAATATTGCTTATTTATACTGACCGAACTAGCTTTCATCCTTATCCCTTTATCATAGTGCTATGAAGATCGAACGGATCCAATGATATTATTACATGATATTCTCATCAAAATTATCAATATATGAATGACGTATTAATAAACAATAGCTCAGAGACTACTCAATGATTATGACAAATTTAATTATTCTATGTTTCATTTGTAAATGCATCTTTTCCTTTCTCCCTCTATTACTTCAAAAGTTCAAATTTGTACCTTTGAGTGAGCAATAGCAAGGGTATCGACCCAAACTCTCCAACCTCCATATTCTAAATAAATGGCGTGAAAGAGAAGCTGTGCAAAGACGCGATAAACGAGTTCACTAATTGCTACTTCAGCTTCATTTTTCGGAAAAATGGAAGCCAATGAAATAAGCCATTCTTGCCATACGCTCATTTGCAAAATTGTACGCCGATTATCTCGAGAGTTTTCGCACATAAGCAGCAAATCTTCCAAGAAAATTCGCTTCACCTAGATAGATAGAACTAAAGTTCAGCTAGCATATTCAGGAGCACCATCATCATTATCTACATTTCCGAAAACTTTATAAAATCTTCAAACACTGTTTCGGATGCTGTCAAGATTTACTTAAACAATGCTAAACCTCCAAAGGAACTCACCTTCATTAATTCTAAATTATTCTCACTTTGTGCTATCAGATTGGTAATAACTTTTAACATTGCAGGATTTTCAAATCTCATTACATCGCTGATCGATACATGAACCAAATAATTTATTGTTGGTGTCATTTGTTCAGTAAGTATTTCAAATAACACATTGTATGTTGCCAAAGTAAGATGACTCGTGTTCAACAATAACCGATCAGTTACAAGGGATAATAAATTAAGACTGCTTACTGAATCCGTCTTTCGCCTGAAATATTTACAAGCATCAGTAGATCTATTGATTTTCAATCAAGTAAAAGAGAGGCATTAAAAGTGACTAGCATGCATAACAATAATTCCAGGAAAGCAAAGCAATTCCAGCGAATTTATATTCGCCTTCAATACTCAATACGTAGACGTACCAGTACCAGTCTCTTTCATTCTTTTCTGATTATAAAAAAGTAACAATCCAAAAACAAGCCTCACTTGAGTGTTGAGCGACACAAGAAGTAACCAAACATCTTTAAAGCCGGTATACGAACAAGTTCATTGGCAGAATTGATCAATTTAAACACAACTGCAAGGCCCTTCTTTCGATCGAATGCCGGTACCATTGCTGCCGGTTTTTCAGAAAGTAACCGTGTTGTAAGGGCTAACACATCATACAGATTATCATCCTTTAAAATTTCGTTTCGAGAATCTTTTAATATGAGACAAAAAATCAACATGAAATTTTTTGATTGCCTAACACATAACACATGAACATTATACTCATTTGTAAGAAAGGAAAGATATTAGTTAACACCTCGTCCATCTTAAACCGTAAATGTCCACAGTGTTTGTTATACAGATGAGCTCTTTTGGAAAATCATCAATTAATATCGAAATTTAACGCTTACTTCGTTTACGGTGGCGATGAAATTTAACAATGCGTTAAATTCACCGTCTCGATTCATAATACCACTCTCCTTTGGATCTGGCATACAAATCAGTCGAGAAATGAAAGTTAACATATGCGCGCGTATAGTTACTACCTCACTTCTAAACATATGTGTCATATATCGAACATTTATCGAATGCAACTACCAGTAAAAGAAACAAAACATGCGATGTCGTAAACCACTAAGTAACTTTTATCAGTTTTATTAGTTTCATTTTATCAGGATTGATTTCTTACGAACTCATCTCTAAATCAATCACTTTGAGACATATTCAATCCTACAAAATCTATTGGTAGAAATTTCGTGTTTAAATATGATATTCGTGCTACAATTCGAATGTTGGCATTAAAATTGCTTTGTTTTTTAAAGTTCAAAAATAAACATTTCTTTCTGAACTAAATCTCTCCAGAAACATTTAAAAAGAGACAAAATTAATATAAATGCCAACCGGGAAGGCCTTCCTTCTCGGTTAATCACGTTGTATACCGAGGGTGAACGCGGCATAACAACCCAATAATATAACTTGATAGCATGAAGTATTTCAACTACAGTGGCACAACGTTGCAAAATCAATATGAAATTGGTGCTTGTCAAAAATTCGCTCGCCAAAAAATAATATAACTGAATTTGTATCTAAAACAACTATTGTCCGATGATAAGCTTAACACCAACCGATATTACGAAAATATTAAACATGCGGATGTTAATTTATATTAAATTTCATACATCAAATATCATTAAAACAACGGATTAGCGCCAGTTCAGCCTAAATTTGTGTAAGAGAATTTCAAGATTCTTGTTTTCCAACTGCTATAATTTTTTCAAACGAACTAACACCAGTGGTAAAAACCAATTCTTACCGTAGGTTCAGCTCTACTCCAAAGTTCAGGATTGAAAAGAATATAATCGAAAAGATGCTTCAACAACGGTGCTCCCGAAGGAAGTGCCAATAAGTATTTCGAAATATCAATTAATATTTCCAGTACATGCTGATTAAGGTTCGAAGGCGATGACTGAAATACCATTTATTATTATAATGCACCATTTATTATTATAATCAATATAGCAATCACAGTTAATATTACATTCCCTGCCGCAATCAATTAATATAATCCCAAAGAGCTTTAAAACAAACTTCATATAAAGCTTGAGAAATGACGAGAAATGCTCTGCTGTGATATAGTTGCTGGGGTGCATTTGAAGCAGTTCTTAGCAGAAAAGATATGGCTGATAGTAATTTCGAGCTGAAATGTCCGCTTAGTACTTGTAAAATTTTTGTCGTTGTTTGTAACTTTAAAATATTCATAAAAGGAAGTACTCAGACAAAGAGGTGAAATATCTGAAATAGGTTGATGATAAATGACCATTTTTATCATTTATTTTTGTAAAGAGTAAGGGGAGACATAACTGGTAGCTTGAACTATCTGTGTTACATCTTCCTCACTGGATTGATCTCCGTAGAAAAGTTAAACAAAAGTCGGTAGTTCAAAGACATTGCATAACTGCACATTTCTATCGTTCAGCACCTCATTCCGTGAGTATGAAAGTCAGAGAAAAAACCGGAATAATTTCACTAGTTTGCATCAAATTATAAGACCCATCGAATTTGCATCAAATTATGAGATCCGTCGAAATGTAAAGCTGTATTAGTTTGATGTTTTACAAAGTTCTAGCTTTAACATTATTTCATGAGTAGTAAAAAACAATTTGAAATGCAACAGTTGAACACTTTCTGTTACCTTTGATCAGTATCAATTTACCCTTTCCACAGTCAAATTAAAAATATTAGACAAAGAAAAGGAAAAGGCGAAATATTTTATTTCCTCCAAATCTATCAAAAGAAAGGACAAAATTTTTGCGGAAAATTTTTGTTTAAAGATGAAATGCTCATTAACGATTTGCAAAGAATATTTTGCGGATTTAATTTTTCGAAAAACTTAAACTTAATCAAACTCTTCGAAAATAATTATAGCGATTGATGAAGAATGTGGCAAGTAGAATGAAAAAAAAGACAAAAATAGAATGGATGACATATTGGAGAACCGATGTAAATCAAACCGGGTAGAATAAGAACGGAAGTAATGACCAGAAAACATGAACTAGCAAACATTACCAGGAGTACAATTGGAAGATATCTAATATAGAAAGAAAAATAGAAATGAGTAATGGAGACGTAATTCAATTAGCCATATCATTCTATACCATATCACTCTATTTTTTTCATTTTCTCCTTACTGTTTTAATTGCACAAATTCCAAAAAAAGTTAATTTCTCCACACAGCTTTCTTAATAGCATGGAATTTGAAGTGTTTAAAAAAATTACCAAATATCAATTTTTCGAACATTTCCATCACACTGAGGAAAGTCTAGTTGCGAAAATAGAGGTAAAAGCATCTGTATGCCACCCAAGGAATGTAATGAATTATGGATTGAATAAGTTTTTACCACTTCAACGCCCTAAAAAAATCACAAAGGAAAACTCTCGCAGCAGAATGAACTCCTTATCCAATAAGGTAGCATTTGCACTATACAAAAAGACAAATTTATTAAAAAAAAAACGTTGTGAAAATTGGTAGAAATATGGACCTCTTTCATAATGGCATGTGGAATCTGCACAAAATACGGAGCAGCTGTTTTAGACGCAGAATGCAGGCATAGCTGCCCATCGCAGTTCTTTGGTGAATAGGCTATCACAATGGAAGCACTGAGTTTTCCATCAAATATAAACTGAAATATAAAAAAGTATCCATTCATGCAAAAGTAACAACAAACAAATTCAACTACTAATATATATACCACCTTTTTATAGTCATCAGACAAATCAGTCTCGGCTTCATGTAGAAAACGGCTCTGATACGACGGTCCCAAACAAAAAATTGCATTAGCCTGTTGCGAACTTAAGGCTTCCGAAAATACATACAACGCTGCTATCTGCCCACAAAACGGTTCTTCTCCATCAGGGCCACACCCAATACTACATTTATCAAAATGTTCTGTTGTTGAAACAAACCTAGAAAAATCTTTCTAAAATTACATCGATCAACTTAATGATGACAAACATATGAAATGGTAATTGATAAACAACGAAAAAGAAACGAAAGCATGCAGATACCATGGAACGTCGAAAGATTCAATCATCTGGCCATCTATGAAACACTGGATTTCACTCCTCGACCAACGAGAATAAATATGTGAGATCGTAACATGATGCCACCTAAATAAAAACATAGCAGAAAATGTGAATACCAAAGCATTTTTCTACAAAGAACAAAAGGAACGAACCTTCTGGGTGTCAATTCAAATCGTATACACCGTGCTGTTTCTTTACCCACAGTCTTAATACAACTGATAACCAAACAATTGCCCATAATGTAACAACTGTAGCCGACTCCCTTTGTAGTTCGAAAACTTAAAAAAATTTTTACTAATGAAATAAAAAAGAAAAGTCCTAGTTGAAAACTAACTGCCCGATCAACAGTCAAAACATTTTAATAATAAAATGAAATTTATACATACCAATAAATGTAAGGACGCTCCTTTTCGAAATTAACACTATTTAAAGGGTCCATTTTCAACCAGGTACAAAAACTCCAGCCATTCTGATAAGGCCACTTGGTCAGCGGAGGAAATGAAATACCCTTAAAGTTCCAAAATGAGTGCCGTCTTTTATTAAACTTCCCTACTTATTTTATTAATGATTTCTTTCGAAATTGCGAAAACAAAGAAACTAACTGCATTATGCACACCAGGAAATGAGAAGAAAACATCTGCACCATCGCGTTTTGGCATTTCTTCTAGCACATCCAAAAGTTTGATCGAGTTCTTACGCTGTAATTTAATTTACCAAGCAAGAGCTTTTTATAATAAAAACTGCTTATCAAGTAAGTAGCAGGCTGTTGTTTGATATCTCAGACGTTTACTCAACAACAACTGGACTAATAATAAAGAAAACATACAAACATACCCATTTCCTATTTACTGCTTTCAAAGCAAGAAGAAATCTTTTGGTTTCCTTAACTGAGATACTATACGTAGTGAGCACTCCAAGAAGTTGTACTAACAAATCCGAGACAACTGCATCGCTGTCTGATAACCGATCTAAGATCTAAAATTTCTCAGAAAATTAAATTTATTAGAAAACAATGTATACTTTAGAAAAAGTTCCAGCAAAATTAACCTCCAAGACAAGGCCAATCCTTGAGCAAGCTTGCATATTACGTGCACTTTTCCTGACAACGCCAATGAATACGCTCCATACTTCTGCCTATAAGATCACTAACTATTACATGTTGCAACTCCTTTTCAAACGGCAAAATCATTACAAAGAAAAAAATCAATAACTGCAGCAAAACTGAAAAACTGAAAATTATCAAAAATAATATCATCGAAATGATAAGAAAATGATAACCAAACCTCTAAATTAGGTGGAGCTGTGTCCAACAGATGCAACAGACGAATAATATTTTTGGAATCCTCGATGATAAATTTTGATTCAATATCGAATGTCCCACCAACAAGCTAAAAAAAGGGATTATTACCAGTGCAAAAAATTAATTCATTAGAAATGAATTTATTCCCTGCTATTATATTAAAATAGCAAAATTATTGCAAAAAAATCAATAACAATACGAAAATTGAAAATTATCGAAAATATCATCAAACTGATAAGAAAATGACAAAGCAATATAATTGTATATCTTTTCCGATTTTAATGGAACATTTAAACTTACTACATTGAAAATTGAATCAACAATTTCTTTGTGTGTAAGAGTTCTATCATGCAGACCCCATCGTAATCTTTGAAACGTATCGTCAGGCGTTTCATTTACCGAGTGGATTATTACGGTGTTATTTTCCACTTTACTCTTAATCAAGTTAAGTTGCTTATCAAAACTTCGCACAATCTAAAACACAAATTTTAAGAGAAGTGCTTGAGATTTTGCTTTGATTGGATTGATTTTTGTATTTTTTTTGGACAAAACATTTAAATCTCTTCTGAACTTTATCTTAATCTCTTTGAAAAGCCTTGTTACACATAGATAAGATGCGGTAACAATATAGTTTCATAAAAGTCGCTGCAATTATTTAGTGTCAGTCATTCAATATTTGTGTTCTTGGTATGTGACATTATTTCAGTTTATACTGCTACCAATGGAGCTGATGTATAAAAAGGACGTAGTCACTGCAAAAGGAATTAGCTGTGTAATGTATGAGAATAAGTTTCAAGAAGGCAGAATTTCACGAGAATTTCATATAGTCGAGGGTATGTCAAATACTAATTTAATTAGCTGTATGATAGATGGAATACAGAAGGAAGAAATGGTAAATTCTAATATTTTTTGATTATAATCAATCATTTTTTTAGCTATATGCTAAAAAAATGATTGATTATAAAATAGTCGATTTTTTAATCCATCATAGAAAATAGTCAATTACGAATCAGTGTTAATAAGTGCTTTCACACTTTGAAGCTGTTAATCTAATATATTTCATGAAGTACTAATTTCCTGCACTTTCTTGCTTTTTCTTATATTTATTTTTTTTGCATTTCATTAAAAAATTTAACTGCTCATTTAATTTTAACGTAAAACAACAAGAAGTGTAATTTTATGAATTCGCTGCAAAACTAAACAGAATACCTCTTCAACCTTCTCTTCTTTCAAAGACTTATCATCATCTTGCGCATCAGTAACTTTTTCTTCACCATGATTATCAACATTACCATCAATGGCTTCTTTCAGGATACTGTTACCGGAAGGATCATCAGCGGTTGATGCTATACTTCTTTCATCCAATCTAACGTCCTCCATTTCCTCTTCACTTTCAGCATCACATAAATTCTGCAAATTTTTTATTGCTATAGAGAATATACTCACTGAATTTTAGCATAATTATTCTGTTGCTACTAAATTTATTCAATTTTTAAATTACCGATACGTGAAGTAACTCATACAACAGTAGATCATTGATATTGAACTCAAAGTACTAACCTATGATTGATTAGACGAATAGCAGGTACCAGGTACCCCGCATATTTACTCGAATGTTTACTATAGTCAGTAGAAGAATAAGCATAATTCATCATTACACAACAATTGATATAATTAGGAGAATTAGCAAGGCGAATTATTAATAATCAGGGTAATATGGTTTTCACTGGGAACACTGGTGGAAATGTTGCAAATTTTTCAATTATTTCCAACAAATAAAATTATGCAAATTTTTCAATTACTTTCAACAACAAATAAAATTTGCATTAATTTTAATAAAACTGACATAACAAATAACAGTGATGATGACACATGTTAGACCTAGACTGAATAGAAGCAATTACCTGTGTGTGTCCAGCAGTATCACAACTCTTCGAGTTTCCATAGTCAACTGCAACTACCTCAGTCTTACTCTCATCAATATCAGGAGCAAACATTCTCAATTCCAACGCGGTAGTACTTCCTGTTTCGCGTTTCTTCTTTTTCCTCTGAAATAAACTATATTTAAAGTCTCATGCTGCGCAGCCCACCCATGTAATAAGTACTTCGATCTGCACAACGCTCCTCACTTACAACAATTTTTTCTTATACAGATATGACATTAAATAAATTATAAAAACACATAACGACATTAATCAACACAATAAAATGATGTAAAATAATAAATCATGAACGTTTCTTATCTAGACCATACAAACACCACGCTCGTGAGTAATATCTCCTTAGTGTACTCATCCGACACTATGTCGTTCCTCCGCGAGCAAAGTACTATGATTGTGATCATATCAGGTCATTTCATATTTCTTTCCTCATTGTACCACTAAAACAAATGCATCAAAAGCACTCACCGCTAAGACACACCTTTATTAATCGCGGGGAAGAAGTGATGCCCACTGGCTGGAAGGCTTCGTGTGGCGAAATGTACTGGTCGGTGTGAGATACACTTTGCTATGTAGTGGATAATGTCATCGTGGACAAGGTTAAGTAGTATGTTTAATTGGAAAGTCGATATAGACTGTTAATAATACTCATTGCAGATGGCTCAATTGTGCAGTGGTTATACAGTACCAGGGTCAATAGCCCAACAACTCATTGTCCAATGTCCAAACTGTACTTTACGTTTCTCTTTGTCTCCAACTTTTATTTACCCTCAAGTTTGTTTCCTTTATTTTTGATTGTTCATAGTATGGTTGTATATTAGATATGAAACGAGAGCTTGAGGTCCCAAAACTGGGAATACGTGCAGTACTGTGATTTTAATTTCGGAATATAGACTGTCTAGGAAAAGAGAATAGACGTGATTTGATAGAGATTAATATGAGTAGATACAGATTTTGATTATTCATAGAGATAAATATTGCTTTGATGGAAATACTAAGAAGATAATGAGAAAGGGTAATAATAAATCTGATTTCTTTGAATTTAAAAACGATGGATTCAGCATGTTCATGTGTTTCTCTTATTATTATCTTTCTTCGTACTTTTCTTCCCATTCTGCATGCTACATTTATTTTCATTTTTCTTGTATGCAAAGTCAAAATGGAAGCAAATAATAGAAATAGTGAAAGCTACAATCATAATATGACATTTCCGTACTTTTTGATATGATTTTTTTCCAGTGGTGGTTAGGAAATGTCACATACTCACAGACGTCGAACGTCCAGTACATCCAACCATTCATTCAATATCCCAATCCGCAAAGTGATTTACGGTCAGCTTTTTATACACCGACACCTTCCAGTTCTCATATATTTGATATAAACCAACAACATCAGGAAATGACAGATAGCAGTAACAGTAGGCAGCATGTTTCACAGGATGCTGCAGATATGAATGATACGATCTTTCGTCATATACGCGATATCCTTATAGATATTTTAAGTTCAGCCACGCGCAAGGTGAGAATTTGCTTCATTATAAGGAAACATTGAGGTAAGAAACAATTGTGGAACAGTTGTTATCTTACCATGTCCGATACATTAACAGAATATTCTGTCAGTTGTAGTTTTGTCTTTCTTGCACAGCCCATCATTGCATCTTTCACGTCGTCATGTTTACTAGACAACGGTTAGTCCAATTATAGACTGCAAAAGAAACTCAAATTTTTCTGATCTTGCAGATCTCTGAAAAAAATCTTAATTCGAAAATTCATCTTTTTTTGAATTTCATAATGTTATTCCTTTGTTGATCTTTTCCAGTTAACTTATCTTTATTCGAATAATGTTTTTCTAGTATGGTATTACCATTTATCAGCTAATGGTTTTATTGAAACAGTCATGTGCCAATTACAATGTAATATTGCCACCATCAATAACGGATGATTTCAAAGAATTCTTGCGCAACAAAATGAGCGATTATGTTGAGGTTGAGGATGATCTGTGTCGTTATCGCCGTCCAACGCTTTCTATTCAAGTAAAAATTTTGTAAACTATAGTTTTAATTATTCATTCTAGATTAACTATTAAGCGTCTTCATCAAGACTTCGTATTTCCTAGGATGTTACTTATAATTTTGTAGCTGTAGTCACTTATAATTTTATGTTAATTTCCTTTTTCGAAAAACAGTTGCTAAGTTTTTATTATGACTTACAAATCTTTATGCTTCACAAATTCCTACATAGATCACTGTAGGTCATGTAATTAATTAAAACTTTATAAAACAATGAAAAGAATGAGTAACTAGAAGGCAGCAACAATAAGTTAATCTCAACCAAATGCTGCTGAATAGGTGCAAAAAAACAGACTGTGATAGCGTCCCTAATGAAATCCTAATGTGAGCTTATCAGAAATGGCCGGTGCACTCGAAAGTTGAAAGTTTTGTGAAAGTTTCATTGAAAAGTAATTAATCTAAGAAATTTGGAAGTGTAAACTTCATTCTTCAATTATTACATACTCTTCTTTATCGGTTAGATCAATTTTTGATCATCTCAATGATTTAAAGAAATTGATGAGATTGGTTATACCAATTTTTGCTAAGGCAAAGTCAAGAAATTGCGGGAATGTTGATAATATTGACTAAGAATATGATGAGGAAGAATGGGTGAAGATTTGTACTTGAATAATTAGTAACCAAATTATGATGTATGAAGGAATTTATTTTTCAACTCATATTTATTTCTGAGTTACGGAAGAAATAATCCACGTTGCTGTTGTGTTTGTATATGTAAGCTATTTTTTGTGGTTATATTACACCTGTTTTCAGGAAGAGAGCATTTCAAATTCATCAGTTTGTGAAAGGAGATCAAATTTTTCTGAAACATCTGCTGCTTTAGTCCCATTGCAAGAATATTATATTGCATCAGCTATCGATACAAATGCAAGTTATTCAGCTGATCAAGTGAAAAAAGTCATATCGAAAAAGAAAGAAATAAAGGAAAGCATTACATACAAGAGTGTAGCCTTCATTTAGCCTCACTAAATTCCATGGCGATGAGATGAAATTACTTTTTGATGCAATGATTTCATTATGATCTTTCAAGTTCTATGCTAAAAACTCCACAGAGCGGTCAAATATCTCGTAATTTTTGTTTAAGTTGCTAAAGAATTTGTAAGTTTTCAAGTCAACTTTTAAAATAATAATTTTTATTTTATATCAAATTTTGATGTCTTAAAAGATTTAGAGTGAACAGTTTTTTGATGGAATAGAAGAGCGTCATAGGAATGATGACGCTGATAAAACAGCTGTGACTGATCCAGTAGTTCCTGATAGAGACAAAAAATGTAATATACTACATAAGCATGTCGAAAATGATACAATATCAACGCATTCGTATACGTAAGTATAATATTCGAAAGGTTTCGCGTTATATACCATTATATACCAGCCAATTTTTAATGGCGACCATTTGGAAGGTATAGAAATTATAGGATAGTTAATAGCCGCTGCTTGAAATTTAAATTCCGACATCTGCGGCTAATTATTTTGCGTTGTATATTACATAGTTGAAAGTGACTCTTTCAGGAAAAACGATCTAGCTAAAATTATGGGAAAATGGAAAGAAATTTTTATCGGCGACTTGAAAGAACTGATAAGATATTTACGAATGGTGGATGATTACTTTCATGAAAGCGATGGCAGATTCACTTTAGCAAAATTCAAGGTTTGTTCCTGTTCTCTTTTGTTGAGTAAATCTATTTATGAAGAAATATGCGCTACTGGTAAACATACGATATAGGAAGTGTTTGGAGAACTGAGTAAGCGATGGGAATTTTGCGACATTGATTTGGTAGAGATGGATATAATAAGTATTGTTCACGATATTGATTTGAATAAAGAACTCGTGCTTAGAGTTAATCCAATCATCAGGTATTCATTTGATCTTTCTAAAAGCAATTTTTATTTAACAAATAAAAAAAAATTTTGCCTTTTCCTTATCATCTGTGGAAGAAATCGTTTACTATAAAAATTTCTTCCAGGGAAATGGAATTTCCAGAAGTGGCTGAACTTGCTAAGGAAATATATAATTTGCTGTCAAAACTTTTACAATCTATGAATTCTGTGAAAGTTGAAATTATCGTTCGCACAGTGGTAAATGTTTAACTTTGTGAAAAAATTAAAGATATCAGAAATTGGTTCGAAAGTAGGTTATGAAAATAAAATCTGGGCACAAATTTCAGAATTTTGGAATTAATGACAGCAAAACGATAAGCGAGAAGTATACTCTGCTGTGGGAAGTACTCAGTGATTCTCATTTTCAAGATGTGTTTATCGTTGACATTTTGCAAAAGCAAAATAAAGGTAAATTGAATTGTGTAAAAATCAAATTGTTCACTGTACGCTTAAATTTTTATTTAAGAAATTTTTTATTCGTATTCTTAAGATAATGATAAAGACAGTTTCTCGTACATTAGACCAAATTAAAGCGACATTAGTACCCAATACATCAAAAACTTTACAACTGCGCAAAGCATCGTAAGTTATTAATTGATTAAACAAAAGCTTTCAGAACGTGGCTTTGATGTAATGGTACGACTCAATGCCTAATTTAGATCTGCTCGGAATATTTGCTGAATAACATTTCTGAAGCAAATGAAAACTTTCTCATTATGATAGCATCGATATACAATTGGTATTTAAAATTACAGTATATGTTTCAGTCTTTGAAGAAAATTCTTGACTTTGTTCCAATTTGTAATTTTTTTTAATATATTGCTTTATGATATCATTTATTAGTCATGGTTTTGTGCTGATTTTTTTGATGCCAACAAGAAGTTATTCTCCTAACACTAAAATGATAATTGTAGTATTTTTTGTACGGATTGATTGTTTTTTTTTCTTTTGAGGATTGCACCCGTGCATTTCATTATTATAGGTGTTACGAGAAATAACTTCTCGTTGTTTTGATAACATATTACTGGTTTTAGTTTTAATTTGTCTTAATTTTTCTTTCTACTTTTTAACCATAAATAACTGATATAACTTTTCCTAGATGTCAAGTTATCAAGTTATCGGCTTGTTTTCTTTATCGGGCGTACTGGTATATTTCCGATCTCCTATTTGGACATTTTGAAAGTAGTGATCAATTGTATATTGTAGTTCATGGTTAAGAGTGAAATATGCTTCTGTCGCTCTTATTGAAGGATTTCGAAGGTTAATACCTTCTTTAACTTTTATATTTGCAAAAAATTTGTTTTGAATAACATTAATTTTCATTCTGGTAGTTACTAGTACGTGCAGTGCAATATTTCCGTCTTAAGGTTCTGACGTATTACACTACCTGTTTTTATGACCATCGAAAGTAGTCACTTGTACTACTATTGTGCTGAATTTGGTGCCAAAATATCTTTAAAGGATGTCAGAAAATAAAGTTGGGGCTTATTTCCATTTTTTGGAAAAACCATCGAATCTGTACTGTAAGTGCCATTGAACACAAATTGACACGTAAATAAGTTACAATAATCATTGTCGTTTCGCTCTTTCAATATGGATTTAAATAATTCCGGAATCTTTCTCAAAAATGGTGTTGATTTACTTCATTCTTTTCTTTTGTTTCGTTTTTGCAGGAATTACATCTTAAGAGATTTGACATCGATGTTATCACAGAAGCAATTGTCTAATGATAGGGATGTTTACCTTCCAGTTACATACTGTCAAATCGATTTCCCAAATATTGTGTAGAGTGAACAAATGGCGATTGACGTTGCCTTTGGTAGAAATGTTAAGAAAGAAGCCACTGGTTATCATTCTGGGTTGTACCGGAACCGGTAAAAGTGATTTAGGCATTGCAGTGGCAAAGAACTTCAATGGTGAAGTAATCAGCGCTGATTCGATGCAAATTTATAAGGGTTGGAAATGTTTTTAAATTTCAATAATTTGAAAATATTACCTGTTGATAGAGATTTAAGGCGGTAGTATGTGTTGTAGTTTACCTGTAAATATGAATTTTATGATTAACCAAGAATGGTCCATGGTACTTATTTTTGCCCGAGGAATCCTTATTATAGATAAAGTGCAAGCAAATGGGCCGAACCCACACTTCAGTACGTTATAGGGAGCAAGAAACGTTCTGTAGCAAAATGAATAACAAATTATAACTTTTACAATAAAGTCAATAGAGCAGAAAAGACGAAGATAGAAAATTTTACCCATGGATCAAAAAATCACCTGCTGTTATCTTTCCACTTTGCCAAATAGCTTTGCTTATGGAATATGAAGGAGATAACTCATTTTATGATATGATCGAAAACGATGATATATACAGAAATGTTACGATAGATAAGGAAAAGGAAACGAATAACGCAGGTTTTTGTATTTTATTGACAGTTGCATACACCATGCATTTTGCAGGATGTCCACGGAATTTTTTAAGTTTTGATGAATAAATAAAATCTTTCAAATTTTCTTTTTAAATTTTGAGAGATTGTTTTTGAGGCTTGGATATTGCTACGAACAAAGTATCAAAGGAAGACATGGACGACGTGACGCACCATATGATGAGCTTTGTCGAGCCTTCCACTTCCACATATAATGTACACCAGTAAGTAACATTTAGCAGATTAGTTCCAATTTTCCTAATAATTCATTTTATATTTGCTTTCAGATTCACTAACAGAGTGCTGTCTTTACTGGAAGATCTTTGGAGTGCTGGAAAGCTACCTGTTATTGTTGGCGGTACGGGATACTATATCGAAGGAATTTTGTTTAAAGATAGTTTGATACCAACAAACACATTCGGTACCTACCAATTTCGAGAAGTTTTTTTGCATAAGATTTTCAGTTAGAGTTGAATTTCTCAGACTTTATGTATGACCTCATTATTTTGAATATTTCTAAAATATTCGATCTTTCAAATAATCAACAAAATCCAAATTTATATTGCTGATGGATGATGGACTAGTAATTTAGAAGTTTTTGGCTTCTAAAAGCTATGCTTAACAGTTCGCTATTGTCACTTTTATTTGTTGGAAATAATTGCGAATCTCTCAAAACTTTTATTAATGTATTTAACAGATGCTAAGAATAACTTCGAGGATCTCTCAAATGATGAAGTTTACGAATTATTGAAACATGTTGATTTAGAATCTGCCATGCAAGTAAGCTATGTCACATTACTTGTTGCTTATTGTTAATACCTTTAATCAACTTTGCTCATTAAGCTAGTAACTTTGCAATTTTCGCTATTATTAATTCCTCTACCTATCACCATTGATACCGAGTAAATTTTTTAACTTGTTGTAACGAACGGCACAACATGATGGAATGTGAAATGGCCAAAAAGTCTCAAACAAACAACTCATCCATTGTTAAATGGTTTAAATACATTTTTGTCTGCTTGCTGTAAGGTATGCTGTGAAAATTATAAAGGTTCTTTCACTTATAAACTCATTTGCCTTCAGATGCATAAGAACAATCGTTTTCGCGTTGTTCGTGCTTTACAAATTTATTATGCAACGGGACAGCGTAAAAGTGAATATTTGGAAGAACAGCGTCGAAGAATAGAATTAGGCGAAAGGCTGCGTTTTAGAAATGTGTTATTACTTATTCTGGATGCTCATAAGGAATTATTGGAAGAACGACTTAATAGTAGAGTCGCAAAAATGATCGAAAAAGGATTGAGGAATGAAGTTGAAAACTTTTATGAGCAGGTGAATCAATTCCTTGAATTTCCTTCATTGATTTCCATGACAAAGTGGCATTGCAGTATTCTGGCAATTTTTAATATGACAAAGAAGTTGGAACAGAACAACAAATAAAAAAAGTTAGGTTGAAGGATTTCATTGTAAGTTGATGATTTGATCGTTATTCAGATGTAGCTGTAACTAAAGACGAGGATGATAACATTTTTCAGGTATTTGATAACAGTTACTGAAGTTAACAGCTAGTTACTATATATCTGAAGTTAATGCTAATTATCTGTTCAATATGTGGGTAGTATTTAATCATCTTCATCATTTGTGAATACCACTATATTATCCATCTCCTTTCTCTTGAACCTTCCAGCCATCTGCGTTCACTTTGATTATTCATATCATTCCTATAGTAGTGCTAATTCTTCGTGCTATAATGAATTGCTGAAAATAGGGAGTGCAGAAATTTAGATGAAATCCACTACAAACTGGCATAGATGAGTTACGGTAGCTCCTATTGTTTTAATTTATTATGAAGACATTTTTACAGTACCGCCATTGTCTCACAGCTCATGGAGTGGCTCAATCGATTGCAGTAAAGGAATTCCATGATTATCTACAGCTAACTCCGGATAAGCGGCACACGGAATTGGGTGATAAATTGTTCAATGAAGGTTGTGAAGCTCTGAAACTGCACACACGGCAGTATTCACGAAGGCAACGGCGATGGATTAAGCGACATTTGCTTGGAGGAAGTACTTTAATAGAGGTTAATATTACATTCATTTTTTCTTATCCTGTTTATGACAAATAAAGTTTGTAGCAACGTTTTTAGCAAAGTTTGTCAGGTTTCAATTACCAACTTTGAAATTTCATTGGTATTGATATTTTATTAATTTCGTTGATATTTTATTGAAAAAAATTATGTATAAAACTGTTATTTTAATGTTTTTTCAACGACAATCTGTTTCATCTTGGTTTTTACTTCAGTCGACGAATATAGCGTTTTTTGACACTTCGAAGAATTTTTATGATGTTGTATTGCCTAATGTGTTGAATAGAATCGATCAATTCCTAAATATTATTAATGACGATATTTTTCCAAAGCGAGCCAATGCTGAAAGAAAGGAGCCCTTTACAATCGATTTTGATTACAGAAAGTTGGCAAACCAAGTTAGAATATTCACTTTTTACTTTCCTTTTAAGAATTTGCAAGCATTTTGTATCGGAACTACCGGGAGTGAATGGTGGGTATGAAATATTGAGCAGTGTTATCCATTCATTTATCGCCTAAAATAATGCTATCATTCATCATTATTTTAGGTTTATTATTGTGAAACGTGTAAAATTGATGTACACGGTACGATGAACTGGGAAGCACACTTGAGAGGCAAAAAACATCGGAGAGTGCTCAGTACAGTAACAGACACATGAACAAGCTGATAACTCATATCGTTAAGATATAATTGTTTTATTACTTGCAATCTATCAAAGATTTGAAATTCGCATTTCCTAAATATCTTTCTGGGTCGATCTTATGGAATGATTGCAGACTAATCACATTATTTTGCAAGATAAAGTTTGCAGATGTCGATAATATGGCTTATTATCCTTTATCATCGTTCCCTCTTAAAACGCTGACTTGTACAATGATTTTCCTAAGTTACAGTATACAAAGAGGAAATTAGTATGGAGGCTCGTGATACGTAATGTATCCGTTTATATTATTTCCTTTCTATATTATAATCAGCGATTGGAAATGTTGAATATTATACTATACATCTTCCAGAAGGTGAGAGCTAATTAGTTAATAACGAATACCGTCTCAGATATCGACGTCATTGTCTAATTACCGCTCGAAAAATCAAATTTGGCTGTAGAACTTAATGTTAGTTATGCTGAAATACTTTGGATGTTTAAGAATAAAATATGTAATTTGTTTCTCGAGAAGCTTATGTCATTCACTTTATTTGATTCACTTAACCTGATAATATTTTTATTGTTAATGTTTTTGAAATTTCTTTCCAGCACTATGGAAGTTCTTGTTTTTGCAGAAAAATCAAGAAAAGGCTCTATCCGAAAATCACAATTCTGCTTTCAAAATTGTTATATTTTTAGCGGATCATGTGATGCTACGTCATGCATAGGCGCAATACTTTTCCCATCTTGAACTTATCACTGACAATATCAAATATTATGTTTTATGCTGTTACATATGACAACTTTAGAATGATGTTGTCAAAATTGAAGAGTTATTTAAGAACCTATCTTGTTTGGACATGCAAATCCGATGTATATAACAATTATGACAGGTCAGTGGGTTGCACTGAGATAAATAGAGCTATCAATAAAAAAGTCTCTCTTTTAAAGGGAATAATCAAGAAAGCGGAGCTTCCGAATAAATCTCTCATATTTATGTTTATACATTGTTTAAGTTTACTAAATGGTCATTTTTTGAGAATTCATATTAAGAGATGTGAAGTACGATGTTAACGAAAGGGACTTGAATGAATATATCGATGAATGAGAGTTGGTTTTGAGAAATGAAGTTTTTATTTTGTTAGTTCAGTCTTACAACTATAATATGCAAAATCCTATGTAAAACTCCTTAAGAAATCTGCCACTTAGGAAAAGTTCGGTTGCTTACTTCATTTCTTTCTATATAATTTTCCTTTGCATAAAAAGAATTTTTCAGCTTTCTACGATATTTCAGTTGCATAGTTAAAAGTGTATATTGAAGGTTTCTTCACTCGTGTTATAGAATAACTTTTTTTTTATACGGTTAATTAGAGAATCCAGCACTTCGTAAAATTAGCACTGATCGAATGATGGGACAGACCGAAACGGAATTTTAGCATTGATGCTGCAGAAATTGGTCAGCCGAGGTTTGAGTCACGCAAGCCTCGAGCATCTTTTCACTTATTTTATGACAAACTATAAACTATAATATTGGCAGTGTATATTTCATATGATTCCAAACAATCTTTTTAATGCAACATTTTTAAGGCAAAAAGGACAAAAATTTTGTTGTCAGATCTGATAAGTTAATAAAAAAGTTATTACTGCAGGGAGTGGCAATGTTCCTTTAAGTGTGAACAACATACTAACAGAGGCGATCTCTGAGGTGATCGTAATTTTGTGATCGCTTTGAGGAAATTATCTGTTCCTACCACAATTCGTTAGATGATGAGAGGAAGAAATGATTGATTCTCTTGATTGAAAGAGAAATGATTGAAAAGCTTTGAGTGGATGGAAGAAACTGGAGGAGGGGGAAGAAGAGCAAATGATCGAATGGAATCGACAACAAGGGCGACAGGCATATTATTTGTTCACTTTCTGAAAGCGACACAAATATTCCATTAATGCTCACCTACCATTAACACCGCTCTTCCCTCTTAAATATTTTTTGTATACATTGTTATCCACTAGTATCGCTAAGGTGTGTGCGTGTATGCATGTGTGTGCGTGTGTGTGTGTGTGTGTGTGTGTGTGTGTGTGTGTGTGTGTGTGTGTGTGTGTGTGTGTGTGTGTGTGGGTGGGTGTGTGTGTGTGTGTGTGTGGGTGTGTGTGTGTGTGTGTGTGTGTGTGTGTGTGTGTGTGTGTGTGTGTGTGTGTGTGTGTGTGTGTGTGTGTATCGTTTCATTTTCTTTCACACCCAAAAAGAACTCTCAGTCGCTCGCTCGCTCGCTATATAGCGTAAAACATTTCCAGAAATGATCGAGAAAATGTTTATATTTTTTCTGCAATTCATTCATATAAGTTGGCAATTATTATATTTATTCCGTTTTTTTTTTTTTAATTTAAATTAATTTCATTAACAAATGCGGTAAAGTATAAATTGGATTTGTTGAATATTCCATGTAGAACGAAGGTAAACGACTACTTACTAACTAACTAATTTATATTATTTCCATTTGATAAGTAAATTTTAATTTAAATCTTTTATCAAATTACAAAAATGTTATGAATTTTCATTACTATAATTCGAACTTGAATAATTAAATGATTAAAATTTATATGTTATTATTGAAGTATAGCGCATATATGTTCAAAGATGAAAAAATAGTAATGATCGTCTCACCTTGCTTATCAATTTTCTTTTTAAATTGTGAAATAAATAATATTTGCACACTAACATTCACATTGTTCAAAATTTCCGGTCTATTTTTCTTCAACCAACTGTTGGAAGTAAAAAAAAAGCAATGGAATTTCATTAACTTAAAATCATAATTAATTAGTGAAGAAAATGAAAATTATTATGATTTTGCAAAATTAACCATTTTCCTTTTCGATTTCATCTGAAAACAATTTTCCCATTAAAAATTTTGAAATTTGCAAATTTTTCCTTTCATTAATTAAAATAAACAACTTTCATTAAATATTTAATTTGGATTTTAGAATCATAATTGCTAACATGAAATGCGAATAATGAAATAAATGATATATTATTTTCTTTTTCTTTTAGGAGTGGGATATATAAATGCATCGTGTATTCTTGTCCTGAACATTTTTCAAGAGTTAGTTCCGTATCAGAAGATGAGGAGAACTTTGTAGGAATAAATAAATGCTTTCAGACCAGTTCTTCTCGTACTTCATTATTGAAATACGCCTTCTTTTATGATACTACTATTAATTTGTTGGTACGAATTAGTGTTACAAATTTCTGCGACTATAATTCAATTCAATTGGTTGGCGAAAATATATTCTTCTCTGTTATGTATAGCCATGACACGAAGCAAATTTCTGCTTTTTCATATTGGCTATCAAAATGTTATGATGAATAGAATCCTTTGCCAAATATCTTTATGATCTTTCATTTAAATATTCCATCTTGAATATCTCAAGACAGCTATTTGCTCAGCATTGATGTATTATTGACTGAAGAATAATAGCAGAAAAAAGTCTAATAGACTTATTCGACTATTGATTATATGGTTTATGATGGCAAATAGCTACTGGGAATTCTGTGTATTGAATAGTAGGAAGATATCATTTCTAGTTGCCTTAAAGTTCCTTTAAGGAAATTAAATCTTAACTCATTCCTTATTTCAAGCCAATCAAATATCCTGTGATTAGTTGTGCTAAATTCTACTAAAAATCACTAAAATTGTACAAATCGTAAATCATATTCTTACTGTAGCGTATGAAAAAGGTAAAGGCATCATTAGTATAAATGATAAGCGGTAATGTCTGCAAACTTTCTTTTGTTTTCACTGCATAATTTTAATTAAAAACAAAAATTTGCTAACCTCGATTTTTTATCTTCGGTTATAGGATGAGAATAAAAATTCTTCGATACAACTTCATAGTAATACCATTAGATCAGCATCAGTCAGATGTTATCAATAAAATGGTGATTCTATAATTATTACAATCAAATGACTAAACGAACATCTTTCCAACTTGTATCTCTTATGAATTAATTTTAATTGGAATATTTTTCATACTATAATATCATTGCAGTAATTTCTATTCGTATTTTATTGGCATTTCCAACCATTTCCAACAGTTTATCTTTTTTCTATGATTCCAATTTAATTCAACGTTCAGCCATTATTTTGCTGAACAAATGAATAATGATAGATCGGATTTATTTAGATGAGTGTTTGTAATACATTAGGTAAGTAAGTGATGATATAATTGAAAGAAGTAGCAATGATCACAAAACGATCAATATTTTCTCAGGTTTATGAAAGAAATAATAGACTAAGTCTAAATTGTTCATCAAGTAGATTTGATTAATAAATATATTAGACATAGATAAGCCGCAATTTTATAACAATCTGTGCATGAAATTAGTTTTGCAAACTGTAACCATTTTTAAAAAAGCTTATTGTAATTAATGAAAGGAAGCAAGTAATAACTATGATGTTTACTTCTCTCTTTCCTTCTCCTTTTTTTAAAAATTTTTTGCGAAAAACAAAAAAGTAACAAGAGGGAATTGTACATGCATCATCAGTGGAACGGCTCAATTCTTCCGTTGCTATAATGTGCAGCACTACAGCAACACCACTATAAGCGCCACTACTACCAATCACCATCATCCCGTAACCACCGTCCCTCTACCACATCACTGCAAAACTTCCAGCAAAACATCTTTGATTTCATTTCTCCTTTAATGTTGGAGGGTTGCTCTCCTCTCTGCACCTAATTTGTCCTTCTCTTAGCTCACTTGTTACTAATTAATGACATCCACACTAATCCTAATTCAGAGGAAGCCATAATACTCTCATCCTACAAATCATTTATCCTTAATACTTCAGAATTTACGATTTCTCAAGATTTCATTCTGCGCTGATATTTCAAAAACTAAATTTCTGCAATTTCTCTGAATGTGTTATTATTCATTTGCTTGTTATTTATATTTTATTTTAATGAAGTCAGGCGGAAGCAAAAGCTGAAGTGATTTTTAGCGAAAGAATCAAATTTTATAC